TTTATCCGACAAAGTAAAGCCGAAGAAAATACTTTTATTCATACTGTAATCATGTTATTGATAAAGCTCCAAGATCTACATAGATTTGGAGAACATGTTGTTTAATGTGTGACAAAAAGCAGTTCATGGTAATTAAGATTTTCCTCAAATGTTAAATGTCGCGGTTAAGTGATACTATGTTGTTGGTCGAGACGATGTATATTACAGATAATAAACTGACAATATGTACATAGAAATATTGATCTTATATACTAAATAACAATAGGAAAATGTAAGGTGGGGTGACACAGTTTAGACACAGCAGTGCTTAGTAGACAATATTGAATTTGTCTTACTAGGCATTATTAAATGCAATTATTATTTTGATGTATCTAGGTGACTGTGTCCCCTATTAAAGTTACTCAATGTTTTTTCATCTATAATGTTGTACGTACGGTCTGGAAAGCGATAACTCAATATTTTAACAGGCAAATCATCTACCTTTTAGGCCGTAAAGGATACGTCACATGCATAAATGATACAGGGGAACATTAACCGGCAACCATCCCTTTAGACTTCAATATTACAGCCTGAATTTACAGCAAAAAGAGAGCAACGACCCCTAACGAGGTCCCTGCCGAATACAGCTGACGTCGCACGAGCCAATATCAGAGCCAACGCGATGAGACGTTTAAATAAAGATAATAATATCATTAACTAACTGAGCTCGCCATTTCTACCTGTATTATTTGATGGCCTCGGTGGTTTAGTGGTTTAGACCATCGCCTTACTTCCGATAGTCGCGGGTTCGACTTCTCGCATGGCGTAAACATTTTTATTAATTAGTATGATTGTTTCTATGAATTCTTGTAGATATATCACAAAAAATACTTAGATATTTATATCAGTTGTCTAGTAACACACAAGTTCTGCTTATCTCGAGACCAGACGGCGCAATGTAGCTATGGGTTTTATTAAAATAATAAAATAATTGATTCCGTCAGTTTATTTCTAATTCCAATAACATACCTTCACTTTACTTTACCAATTACGAACATCTTTCACTCAATTATGGAATGCAATAAACATTGAGTATTGAACATAACAAAACGATTGCCTGATAGTAGTTTAGTTAGATTTACTCTGCAAATAAGGTCTTAGGTTGGCCGTTTTACTTGCAAGGTCATATTAGTTAGTCGCCACCGGCAGTCAATAGAGCGATTTGGCTCGCTGGCCGTTCGGATTAAATGGATCTTTCGTCTCCATGGCCCGAGGGGCGACGACCCACACTTCTTATCTGGAGATCAACCTAATTATCAACCGCCTCTAAATGCACATAGGTATATTTCGCGATTGTTTCGCATATTTGAATAGAATAGAAAATCATTTATTCAAATAAACTTAATTTAAGCACTTTTGAATAGTCATAACAATTTGTTTTTTATCTACCACTCGTTCGGAAAGCTGTCTCATCACAAGAACAACGAGCAAGAAACTTGTGTGTTGCTCTTTTAAATAGTCCTTGTAAGTTTACATTTACAAGTCGAAACGTGTGAATATAAACTACCATCACTATTTTTTTGGGTCAAATATAAATATACAATAAGATTAAATCAGTCGTAGTGATAAGAGCAGCCCAGTCCCTACAAGCAGCACTCGTTCACGAGTATGACGGATGATAATTCAGAAACGATTTCAATAATCCTTTTTGCAATTTTAAATCCTATAGGAGTAATAAACATTAATTGGCCGTCAAATAAGAACCTCTGTCCTCTGGGCAGTTTAGCATTTACTTCCGATGGTAGCGGGTTCGTCTCCTACCGTGCGAGGAATGCAATACCATACAGTGCAATTTTGGAACATCTTTACACAGTATAAAACAAAGTTGCCGCCGTTGTCTGTTCGCTTATATCTTTCAAATTACGCAACGGATTTTAATGCAATTATCAGCAATAGATAGAGTGATTCAAGAGGAAGATGTATAATACATGCGTGTTATACTATAGTAACTAAATGTTTTGTATTTGCCGGTTCTTTTATATATTATACATTATTATGTATGAAATCAAAGACTGTTGTCTGTTGACTTATGTGAATATATTTCAATTGTTTTTTATAATGTTTTTAAATATTTATGTACAAAACAGGTTTTAAACATACTCCACCTTAGAAGATGTGAATATGAATATTAACTAATTTATGAACAAAATGTACAGGAAATAATGAAATTAACAAGCATTTTTTATAGATCTATGAAAGGTGCCTTATTGAATTCTGTCTTAATGACTATAGTAACATATGTAACAAGACGAGAAATTCAAAGATTTGTAATGCAATCTGTGTGATGCCGGCACGGGTCTCTAGTATCATATAAAATCAATCTTAACCAATTTCCAATTAATATTATTCTCAACCAATTATTAATATTATATATTTTAAATATAAAATCAATCTCAACAAATTAAATTCTAAATGCGATAGTGAAAACAGTAATGGTGATCTATTGATAATTTGTGGCGTCGACAGATTATAGGTATTACAAAATATGTATAAATGTGGGACAGCAAAAAACAATTTCAATAGTGGCGAAATTCTAATTGTAATAATAATGTCCCAGGACAATTTACATAGCGCCATCTAGTCCCAAGCTAAACAAGCTGAGCTGAGCTTGTGTTATACACTTTTTTCTGTAAATAATAATAATAATAATCTCAGGACAATTCACACAGCACCATCTAGACCCAAGTTAAGCTAGCTAAAGCTTGTGTTATGGGTACTAAACAACTGATACTATATTTTTTTTTTGTAAATACATACATATTGTACATAGAAAACAGCCAGACCGATACAAACAATCATACTCATGAATACAAATGTTTGTGCCGTGCGAGGAATCGAACCCGCGACCATCTGTCGTAAAGTGGTGTGCTAGACCACCGAGGTCGAAATGTAATACATACATAATCAAAGCGAACATTGTAAGTAATGCATATGTATAGGTACATTATAAAAATAATTCATTGATAAATAACAATATTTTTAATTTTACGAGCTCTCATAGCTCCTGGCGCCTCAGAATGAATGATAATTTTAAACAACTATTATGGTGACATTGCAACTGTGTCAATACTGCTATTAACTAAACAAGTCTTGAACTTTATAATCAATGCAATAAGTGCTTATATTAGCTGGCATTGAATGAATAAAGGTACTCTAAATACTATCCAATGTGGGTAAATATACAGGCGTAAAAGTTTCTAACATTTTGTGACGGAATTTGAACTTGTATTTTAAAAGTGTTTAGATTTCAATTAAGTTTTTTTACGTTTTAGATATTTACTCTCATTAAGAATTACAAATAATTCACTTAACATCATCATCTGCTTCTTCCTTATCCCATTTATTTGGGGTCGGCCTATGTTTTTCGCTTCCATTCATCCCTGTTCGCAGTCATCTCGTTATTTACTTCCTTTCTCACCATATCTTCTTTCACACAGTCCATCCATCTCTTTTTCGGCCTTCCTCTGCCCTTATAACCATCCACATTCATATGTAACACCTTTCTTAAAATATTATCCTCGTTCCTACACATTACAATTCACTTAACATGAGAACTAAAAGCATAAACTTATACAAAATTAAATATTAGTGGATATACAAAAGAAGGTATATATAATGCAGACGGTGTAGTAACAAAATCTAAGCCACCCTATCTATTACGATCGATCTACTATCATTATAAATGAAATATTAAAAATGCACCAGCAGTCTAGGTAATCACAATAAAGACCTACATGTTCATACTAATATTATAAATAAGAAAATGTGTCTGTCAGTTAATGCATCTGCCTAATTATCACAATGTGTAATCGCAACAAAATATCAAATCATACTAATTTAACACATTTAATGCCTTTACTGGAGTATTTTGAAAAAAATTTTTATGTGATAACTTATCTGAGATACAAAAATATAGTTAATTTGAAATGAGTTAATAATAGAATCATGTGAATATTGTAATGCATTAAATAATTCATGGGAATAGTAAAATAATTAGTTTTTACTTGATTCTGTAGACTGTAGGCTGATGCATAGTTTATGATAAAAAATAAAACTATGACAAAGTATATATTAAACAGCTAAGTGATTACTGATTATTATTGAAAGATATATGAGAAAAACTTTTATTTAGGGAATGAATTGAACATTGAATATGTTATATTAAATGTTCTATTACTTTATCAATGTATTAGAACATATTAGATTGTACATCATAGATATGTAAAGTTATGGTATGTTACTGGCCAGGAAGACTTTTTAACATAAAAGATATATTTGAATTTTGAATGCCACACAATAAAATATTGTTTGTATATTTACAAAATATTTCCTAAAATTTATAGACTATATTTATTAAAAAAAAAAGTAAATTATTGTTAGTATTTTTATCTGTTGTTTATATATATGTGCATTTGTGTAACCTTTCCTCAGAAACAACTTAACCAATATTTATTTGGTTATCATTAATATACTGTGGTTTCCTTAAAATTCTGTAGACTTTATTGTAAACAAATTATTTTAAAAAATCTAGCACAGGATATACTTTAAAATCTCAGACAGTGTATATTACAAATGTAATATATGATATAGTTACACTAACTTTTTGTTAGTACTATTTTTCCTTTGAAAAATGAATGAATCATTAATAGATACTACTACTACTAAAAATAGTTGGCCAGCTATATTACATAATAATTGGCACTTAATAACATTTTATATCATGAGCAGAAAAAATAAAATAAATATATTATAAAACATTTTCTTATCATATTCCATCAAGATAATATTTACGTAAGAAATCAAACCTATTACGTATATTTAAAAATAATTCTTTACAAGGTAGACAGAAAGAACTGTGAGCCAGTGGTACCCATTCCCACTCAAAAAACCCAATAATTTAGTAATAAAAACAATTTATTCATTAATTGACAAATCAATTTATATAAATGACTACGACTTACCAGTATTTCATGATGTGTTCGGTTACCTCTGTGCACCCATTGTAAATTCGGGGCAGGCAGAGTTAATAAACCTCCGCAAGGTAGGCTTACATTAGTACCCTTGTCTGCAGCAATTTTCCGGATTTCCACATTTTCGCCGGAGGCTCCGGGGAAAACTGGCCAATATAAAAAAAATAATTAATATTAAAACAAAACAACCTATTGAACTTTTATTTAAAAAAATAATATTTTACCTTTATTACCGAAAGAGATCACAATCAACAATATACGCTCGACGAACATTCTACTATAACTACATTTAGACACCCAAGAAAAATATTTTTCGTTCACTATCTAGTGTAAAGTAATATAGATTTGTTTTCTATCTAAATAAGGACATCGCAAAAATAATTAAACGACGGAAGGCAAAATAATATAGGAAACAGTTTTCACAACAAACGTCTGAGATTCATTGATGAAAGTCATAGACTAACAAAAAATGATATGTAAATGACAGACTAGACAGATAACTAAAGTTGCAAGGCACTAAAATGAAAACATTGACATTGACATTACAGTTATAAAATTACATTTCTGGAAATAAATAAATTATATGTGACACGATTTCAATTTTAATTAGTAAAAACGTATAATTATTAATCTACCTAAATCTGGAGTTAATAAGAACCTAGAAAATTATAGGAGTATAATGAAATGTTAAAAAATATACACTTGACATCTTATTAATGTAAACTAGGCTTAAGAATGACAAATGTCAATCGAAAACTCACACTGCACTATGGTTCGACAGTAGTAGCATAGACAAAAATATAGATTTTCTACGGATATGGCCGCTGTATCGGCAATACAACATCTGCAATGTTTTGTTTAATCATTTTTATAAAATGAATGAAAGCTTTTTTACATATAAGTAGTGATTAGTGGACTGTGTAAAGTTCTGTGATAATTTGTAATGGATGCAGAGAGCGGATATGGAATACAAAGAGCTCATGATGCGATGCAAACGATAGAAACTATCCAGTCGATGATCGACGTTTCAGCTGACAGACTTGAGGGTTTGAGGACGCAATGTTCTACAAGCGCAGAGCTGACACAGCACGAGATCCGGACCCTGGAGGTACTGTCCTTGGAACGTTCGCTTTTCTTGTATAACGTAAGGAAACAAGTTGTGCCCTTGAAAGTAATCAGGAACCCGGGATTTCAAGGACTTCGAACAGTTCAATGCTGTTTTGCTGGGCTTTTGCTATATATCTGGGCTATCTTTGATTTCTTACATATTATTGTGGTTTTATATGCTGTTTTAAGTAATTAATTTCTATTGTTTATGTGAAAGTTTTCATCAATATTCATTATTCTACATTGGAATGTGTACACATAAATCTATTTACTTTTATTACCTTTTATATTAATCGTTACTTTTAATTTATTTATAAAAGTTAGTCCAGAGATGCAAAAATGAATAATTATCCCACTAAAGTTCCTTATTTAAATAAATGTGATATCATTTGATGCATTGTATAAAAGATGTATAATAAATTTGTAACTTGTGATTGACTGTCATAATGTGAGATCTTAATGTCATGTAGATATGCAATGTGTGTCTATGTGGATTTTGAAGTGATCATTGTTAGTGAAATGCAATGGTAAATTCATCATCAAGTGAATGAAAGTTTCATTTGCTATCTTCATTGTACTCTAACTAATATTTCATAATTATATATTAATAATTTGTTGTGTCTGGCTAATTGGAAGAGTATTTTTATATTCAAAATTTGTATTTAAATTTATTGTTCTTTAATAGTTCATACTTGTTTTATACTTCAAATTCTGTCTTGTCAATAGTGTCTTAATATATCGTTGATTAAATAGAACATGAAATTTTTCAAAATTGGAAGATAGAATTGCCTCCTTTTATATAAATTAATTAAATTAACCACGCCATCTTAATAATTATCTAAAAAAAAATTTTTAAAATGATATATAATACTTTTGTATAAATTTAAAACTTTAAAGGTAAAAATAACTTAAATAAATTAAAAAAAAAAACTTAAAATGCTTAAGCCAAGTAAAAAATGTAAATTTTTAATACTGCCATTTTTCTATTTAACAATATATAGCCATATTCCAAGTATTTTTCTATAGTTTTCCTTTTACTTATACACATATAAATTAAAACTACAACATAATCGAATTATGTTTAAATACAGTGTCATGACATTAATTTTTATATCTTATATTTCATTGAAATACCACTAATAAATCTCTTCCTGTTAATAATTTGTATTAATATATTTGTGAGTCATGTTTGGCTGAAATCTTTTAATTTAATCCATAAATAATTAATGTAAACACTAGTTTAAATAATCAAACAGACATACTTTAGCGTTTATAATATTAGTATGAGTATTAATAAACTTAAGTACAATTTCCAAAGTTTTTGATACCTAAATCAGAATAGGAAACTCTTTGCATTATATGATTGTGTATTTGCAAACATTTTCTGATAAGATAACAGAAACCTAAAGTACCTGCAAAAGTAACATCACACTTCTATTTCATAAAAAGTAAACTAAAAATACTTAATACTAAATATGTTTTGTGTAGAATTTCTGTCCGTATATAAATTCAAATTCAAAGCCATTATTAAATGACATAAAATTATATTTAATTAAAAGTTTAAAAGATAAAAGAAATATTAGTTATATATATGTTTATGTTACTTTTAATTCTGCACATCAGTCTCTGAGACAACATGTCCTTTGGACACAAAGACTCCTCCAGCGTTTTCTATGTGTTCCTATCTTTTGCCAATCGGAGCCACAGTGGGCCAGCAATCTTTCTCGTCAGTATATAATATAACCATTATATAAATGTACTATTATGTATATCTAGCTATATCATGCAGCACCATCTGCAAGGAGCGCTTAAAATCTAATTGAAGTCCATGACCATTAGAGACCATGTTATTTGTTAAATATCAAATTATAAGCTATTATTGTTTACAACTTTTTTGGTATTTAACAATGATGAAAGATACTGATGACTATGGTTCATAAATTCAGTGCATAAATTGATTAAACCATGTCTGAGATTAATGCAAATAAATGGAACTATATTTTAACATTGTTTTAAAAATGTATTTACTATTATATTGATAAACTCAATAATAGTTTATCCCCCAACAGATAAGAGATGATTCAAATATAGAGATAAACAGACATTTTTCAGTTTGTTACCTATATTAATCCCTTTTAATCATCTTATATATAAAATTCTCATGTCACAGTTTTTCTTCCCATACTCCTCCGAAATTGTTTGTCCGATTTTCATGAAATTTTGTGAGCGTATTGATTAGGTCTGAGAAGCGGCCAACATCTATTTTTCATCCCCCTAAATGTTAGGGGTAGTCCACCCCTAATTTTTTTTTTTATTTTAAGGCAAAACAATGTTTTCCGGGACAGCTAGTATTCTTATATTATGATATTTAAAGTACAAACTTTATGATGTGATATGTGATATTTAAAGTACAAAAATAATGGGTTTTTTACTTAAATATGATGCCGAATAAATGATTATTCTTATTGTTACTTTATATATTTTTTATATATCTCCCTTTTTACGGGGGTAATACTTTCAAACACGCGGGCGGGCCTATTACTAAAACAACTCGTTCCACACATTGCCGTTTAAATGTGGGGAAGGTATTAGTACTCGTTTAAAATAAGTAATTTTAAATGACACAAGGGCAAAATATATATACATATATTATATTTATTAATGCAGGTAGAAATACCCGCCCCGCTCATAATGTGTTAATAAATAAATTTGAGTTTTGTGGTATTAATATTTGAGTATACTAATGCAATTGTAACATTAAATATTATTTTTTGTATATAGTAGTATACCTAAACATTATAATGAACAGCCAGTGTATATATGTTATATTTTTCTGTATTATCTACAATCAAGTTTTCTTCAACAGCCATATCAGATTTTTAAAAGATTGTAAGGTGCATTCAGTGAATCGCAATCCAAATATTTCTATCAAGATAATCTTTAGGAATATTCACCAATCATTACTAAGCTTATACATGGAATACAATTGAAAGAAATAATTGTAAACATATAATTTGATTTAACAAAAATATGCTCATATTAAGTTTATTTGAATAATAGACTATTTTATTTCATTATATCTATAGTTCGGCTGACATGTTGTAACAGTTTTTTTAATAAGCTGTAGTGTTGTGAAAGGTGACATATGGTGTTTAATCAACAAGAAAATATGTTGATTGAACACCTTAGGAATTACGGTTGAGTGCTGACTCGGCGCATTGTTGCATATGTCGACACGTGTGTCATCGGTTACATATAGGGTTGTGACATTCTGTGTAAAAAATAGATTATTAATTAAACGAATATTTTTATTGGCACATTCGATTAAAAAATGACTAGATTTTATTAGTCGATTATTACCTATACTTATTTACTTGTGAGTGTTTTTCGTGTGATTAAAAATTGACTACTTTTTAAGTAGTTGAGTTTCTTTACTTGTGTTTTTGATGTTTTTTTACGTAACTAATAAAAAAGACCAAAAACGCTCAAAAGTAAAGAAGCACTATAATTAATTACTTAAAAACTAGTCTATAATAAAGTTATAGATCCATCTTAGTTTTTTAGGACGATAACGTTGTATTTGATGAAAAATCCATTATTAATTAGTCAATACTTTTAAATATTAAAATGTATTTATCTTTGAAGTAACTACCTCTTATTTGCGGCTTCGTCTGCTTTCTTGAGGTAGAACATAACCCATGACCGTCTTCGTTATATCGCATGTCTACATATTCATTCATTCATTTATTCAAACCCGTTCAGCCTTTTAATCGTAACAAGCTAACAAGCAAACAGCCAGATATTTTCACATGTAAAAAATAAATATGGATAATCGATTTATTCACATCCCTAGTTTTGTATAATCAATAGCGGCATAGACAATAAATAGACGTCAATAGTAATTCAATGCAAATGCATTTAGCTACCACGAACCTTGGCACGGTATCCTTGTGAATATAATTAATAATTCCCCTTTCATTATGAGCAAGACTAAAATAAAATATATATCATCACTAGCTGTCACCCGTGACCTCGTCTGTTTTGTTTATAAATAATAATACCCCTGGACAATTCATACGCCATCCAGTCACAATGTAAGCTGAATACATACATAATATACATATAAAACACACTCATGAATACAAGTGTTTGTACCGTGCGAGGAATCGAACCCGTGTTCACCGGAAATAAGGCGGTGAGGTGCTTACTGCTACACCATCGAGGCTCTAATCTGAACAAATATGCACAATTTTTTCTTTGTCTGGGTGTTTTCTATATTCTATACAATAACCTACATAGATTAGAAATATAAAAAAAAAGTCTAATAATTGCTGTCGGTTGTCTAATTTCATCCCCTATTTCACCCACTCGCAGTTTATTTTTGGGGTAGAAATAACCTATATCCGTTCTCATGATACAGTTACCTATATCTGAACGTGAAATTGCATTGAAATTCTATTTCTTCTCTTCTATTCTTTTAGTTGGATCCTAGATTCATAATTTTTCCAGTAATAGTGGTGGTCACAACACTTTACTTTTTAAGACATGATAATGGATTGGTGCACTGCTCACACCACGATACGATGAGTATGAGGTCAGGTCAGTTAGCCTATCGTGATAAATTCACTAGGAATTTATCTCGATAGTTTCCAGGGGGAACCGCGTGGACGTCAACCTGATACAATTACTGGCAATGGGGTTATTAATCCCCATTACTAACAATGCCCTTCCCCCTCCAACCCCTTATTATACAATGCCACAATCATCCCTCTCCCCGTGCCTCTCCTTAACGTATGTTTTTTTTTATGGATGTTATGGTTCATCCGCTTGCTAACGGTTTACGCTGGCGGGGCGCCAGTGGAAGATGATAAGATGAGCACGAGGTCAGATCAGTTAGCCTATCTTGAATTTTTTTTAAAAAAGATAACGTGATTAATGTACGTCCCCTTACTAACACTGCCCTTCCTATTACGTATATTATAGATGAACTCTTTGTATAGTGGTTGGTTTGGGCAAATAAATAAATTATAAACCGCTACACTTCCAACTTTATCGCGTCGATACTAATGAAAAACCCAAATATTTACCACATTGTCGCGTTAGCTAACAAATGTCGCCTCTATAAATACATGATCATTAGGCTGTAAATTAATCAGTGGGCACTCGACATCGATTCGTTAAAATTAATATCTAGACGCCAGTTGCGTAATTATACCAGTTGTATGATGATTCCAGAGGAATATGTTCGGCTGCATCACACTTTCTCAATTTATATAAATCTTTTTGACATGTTTGATGCATTGAAAAATCGTATTTCTGACATAGGGTATACACATTTATTTTTGTTAATTACGTATATTATTTTTGAAATATGTTTTTAGTGTACAATAATTTGAGGTAGATATTATTTAACCCCTATATTTATTTCAGTTAAATCGCCCACATAATAAAAAAATAAATTATTTTTATTTGTATAAGTTTACTTTCGTTGCGGAATGACACACCGGTGGGCATGCGGTCTTTAACTCTGTCTGTCTGTCTCGCTTTTGCGCCAAAACTACTGAACTGATTTAAATGAAATTTCGTACACAGATTGTCAAGATCCTGAGAAAGCACATAGGTTACTTTTAGGTTTTAATGCGAAAAAAGGGTTGTAAAGGGTTGAAAAGGAAGATAAAAATTTGTATGGAATCTTTTTTTTTTAAGTTTGAATTTGAAACTAATTTTTTTAGGCTGTTGATTGAGTATGTATTGTAGCTAAATCGATGAAATGTTTTTTTTTTTTCATTTGGATTTTATTGGGTTTAGATTATGACTCATTTTTTCATTATTAGGTCAAGGTTACTATTTTACGCGGTTGAAGTCGCGAGTACAGCTAGTAATAAACAATTTTGTGTTTGAGTCACGACCAAAGTCTATCGTATTTCCGATTGGTATCATCGGAAGTGATGACATCATTAACATTTGGGTTTACATATATTTATTGATAACACAGTGTTTTCCTTCGAATGATAAGATAGCTTTATCTCTCATACAAAAGGTATCACACCTCACCCGTCGTGTGCGTCGCAGTGTCTGATCTGACGCGATTTAATCATGATGAATGTATGGATGTATGTACATAACTCTTTCACGCAAAAATTACTGAACGGATTGTGATGAAAATTTACGGTGATATAGCTTATATATTAGAACTAGCTACTCGCCCCGGCCTCGCACGGGTGTACATGTATTATATATATAAACCTTCCTCTTGAATCACTCTATCTATTAAAAAAAACCGCTTCAAAATTATGTTACTCTTTCACGCAAAAACTACTGAACGGATTTTGATGAAACTTTACGGTGATATAGCTTATATATTAGAACTAGCTACTCGCCCTGGCTTCGCACGGGTGTACATGTATTATATATATAAACCTTCTTCTTGAATCACTCTATCTATTAAAAAAACCGCTTCAAAATTATGTTACTCTTTCACGCAAAAACTACTGAACGGAGTTTGATGAAACTTTACGGTGATATAGCTTATATATTAGAACTAGCTACTCGCCCCGGCCTCGCACGGGTGTACATGTATTTTATATATATAAACCATCCTCTTGAAACACTCTATCTATTAACCGCTTCAAAATTCGTTGCGTAGTTTTAAAGATTTAAACATACATAGGGACGGATAGACAACGACAACGACTTTGTTTTATACTATGTAACGATATATATGGCAATACATACACATACAGTTAAATATATGTACAAATCAATAATAAAAGTTAGGTGGAGGATTACCTATATTTATACCATCAATTGTTACCTATTCTTACTATTACTATAAATGCGAAAGTCACTCTGTCTGTCTCTCGCGCTTTCACGCCAAAACTACTGAACCGACTTAAATGTCATTTGGTACACAGATAGTCTGGACCCTGAGAAAGGACATAGGCTACTTTTTAATGCGAAAAATGGGTTGTAAGGGGCCGAAAGGGTAGATGAAAGTATGAGCACAGCTTGTTATAAATAAATAAATAAAATATGATATTACTTTCAGGGCAAGTTGGTGAAGCACTTCTCCAGGCAATTGTACATAAAGGCGCGGTTCGGAGATGAGCTGAACGATGAGGTACGGGGTGTACCCTGTTTGGCGCAGTGGCTCCGGGTGGTGGGACTCAGTCCTGATACTATTGAGGTAATTACAATAAGAATCAATCATTTCCAACAGTTGTACATAAAGGCGCGGTTCGGAGATGAGCTGAACGATGAGGTACGGGGTGTACCCTGTTTTTTTTATTTTATATATTACATCAGTAGATTACATTTGAGGTAGGGGCAGGCCACGCGCTTCTTGGTGGAATAATATTAGAATAGAATAGAATAGAATAGAAAATCATTTATTCAAATAAACCTACATTGCGCTACTTTTTTAAGGTGGAATAATATTAAGAAGCAGATGGACCAGGACAACCTTAATATACAGACAACCCAGAACAGAGTTCTTAGGCGCAGAAGTACAGGGAGAGCCGACCCCAGATAAACTGGGAACATGGGTTGGACAAAGAAGAAGAGATCAGTAGATTACATTTCAAAATTATCGAATTTTGATTATCATATGGATGAAATTGCGAGCAGTTTCTTTTATGTCAATAAATGGTTTGTATAATGACAATTATTTAATTAACAATACGATACCTTATATATATATATATCTTTAGTACCACAAACATACGTGCAAATAAACATGCGTAGATTTATGTGGTGTTGGTGGATTGTGTGATCCTTATCAGCTGTGTGTGAAATATATACACCATGTGTATGGAGAGTAAGCTCACATACATCTGATCTACATATCTACATATCATCTTTCATACATGGCTAATAGGGATCAGTGGAAAGAGAAGACGACCATAAATATTGGTGATGGCAGTGATAATGATGATGATGATGATGTTGTGTGGTGTCACTAGGCGGTATGTTCGCGCGTGCCGTCGCTGGAGGCGCTGCGCGAGCGCACCGATCACGATCTACGCGCGCTGCTGGCGGCCGCCAGGGACGAGGAACAACGCCGCCTCTGCTGCGCCATGAACAGGCTCGCTACCTACACAGGTACCTCACTTATTGCACTCCCCTCCGATCGATCGCCAACCTAATTGAAAAGGGCATCTAAATTACGACCTGAGCCGAAGTTCGAACCCTTGGCGGTGCCCTCAGTCGTATCCGTCAGACGGGAGTTGGCTTTCAGCTGCTCTTTAAGTCCTTTCGCGAGTTTGGAGTGCTATCTGCACTCGCCCCATATCGCCCGGTTAAGGCCAGTTGCAGCCAACACCTAGTGGTGTCGAGTAGTCCGAAAAAAAAAGATTATTGTAACTAAATCTAAAATTGAATGAAAAAGATTTTAGCCGCTTATCAGCGTTACAAAACTTATTCGAGTTACAAAACTTGACGTTCATTCATATTTTTTCCTACGTTCAGTTCAGTATGCAGATTTAATTGCTGCCTTTACACTTTCAAGCGTGAACACGCTTTCACGCACGCAATAATGTGCGTGTAAATGTAGACAAAGGGAACGAAAATAACCGCGCGCGCCTCAGGTTCCGTATTCCCGCGTTCTTTAATTCGTTCGTATTTTAGCGCTTTTTAAATATTCTGTAATAATCATCAATGTAATGATATCTGTAGAATCTATTAATTGAATGGTAATAAAAATAAATGTGTAGTATGTATATAATAAAAAAAAATTGCAGAAGCGTTGATGCGCGGCGAAGGTGGCGCCGAGTTGGAGTTGTTCTGGGACTCGTGGGACCGGTCGCACGCGCGCGGCTCCCCCCGCCCCCCGCGGCCGCACCCGCGGGCCGCGCCCCCCGACCACCCGCACCACGCGACGCAGGCCCGCCGCGGTGAGTACCACCACCGGCCCCCCCGCCCCCCGACCACCCGCACCACGCGACGCAGGCCCGCCGCGGTGAGTACCACCACCGGCCCCCCCGCCCCCCGACCACCCGCACCACGCGACGCAGGCCCGCCGCGGTGAGTACCACCACCGGCCCCCCCGCCCACCGACCACCCGCACCACGCGACGCAGGCCCCCCGCGGTGAGTACCACCACCGGCCCCCCGCACCTCGACCACCCGCACCACGCGACGCAGACCCGCCGCGGTGAGTACCACCACCGGCCCCCCGCACCCCGACCACCCGCACCACGCGACGCAGACCCGCCGCGGTGAGTACCACCACCGGCCCCCCCGCCCCCGACCACCCGCACCACGCGACGCAGACCCGCCGCGGTGAGTACCACCACCGGCCCCCCGCACCTCGACCACCCGCACCACGCGACGCAGACCCGCCGCGGTGAGTACCACCACCGGCCCCCCGCACCTCGACCACCCGCACCACGCGACGCAGACCCGCCGCGGTGAGTACCACCACCGGCCCCCGCACCTCGACCACCCGCACCACGCGACGCAGACCCGCCGCGGTGAGTACCACCACCGGCCCCCCCGCCCCCGACCACCCGCACCACGCGACGCAGACCCGCCGCGGTGAGTACCACCACCGGCCCCCCGCACCTCGACCACCCGCACCACGCGACGCAGACCCGCCGCGGTGAGTACCACCACCGGCCCCCCCGCCCCCCGACCACCCGCACCACGCGACGCAGGCCCGCCGCGGTGAGTACCACCACCGGCCCCCCCGCCCCCCGACCACCCGCACCACGCGACGCAGGCCCGCCGCGGTGAGTACCACCACCGGCCCCCCCGCCCCCCGACCACCCGCACCACGCGACGCAGACCCGCCGCGGTGAGTACCACCACCGGCCCCCCCGCCCCCGACCACCCGCACCACGCGACGCAGACCCGCCGCGGTGAGTACCACCACCGGCCCCCCCACCTCGACCACCCGCACCACGCGACGCAGACCCGCCGCGGTGAGTACCACCACCGGCCCCCCCGCCCCCGACCCCCCGCACCACGCGACGCAGGCCCGCCGCGGTGAGTACCACCACCGGCCCCCCGCCCCCCGACCACCCGCACCACGCGACGCAGGCCCGCCGCGGTGAGTACCACCACCGGCCCCCCCGCCCCCCGACCACCCGCACCACGCGACGCAGGCCCGCCGCGGTGAGTACCACCACCGGCCCCCCCGCCCCCCGACCACCCGCACCACGCGACGCAGGCCCGCCGCGGTGAGTACCACCACCGGCCCCCCCGCCCCCCGACCACCCGCACCACGCGACGCAGGCCCGCCGCGGTGAGTACCACCACCGGCCCCCCCGCCCCCCGACCACCCGCACCACGCGACGCAGGCCCGCCGCGGTGAGTACCACCACCGGCCCCCCCGCCCCCCGACCACCCGCACCACGCGACGCAGGCCCGCCGCGGTGAGTACCACCACCGGCCCCCCCGCCCCCCGACCACCCGCACCACGCGACGCAGGCCCGCCGCGGTGAGTACCACCACCGGCCCCCCCGCTCCCCGACCCCCACAGAAAAGCGCTGTGTGAAACCGCTAGACTACCAAGTCCATTACTTTGTCCAATGGCTAACATATTTAATGTATATCTCAATGATGCAGGTGGTGGCAAGTCACCGACCACGCCGGTAGGCAAGCGGAAACAGAACTCGACGCTGCCGCCACCCGCAGCGCTTACCAAGTCGAGGTCGCACGAGTCGCAACTGTCTGTACGGACTGACGCCGCAGATCTCAGGTATCATTATATTCATTTAACGAAAATTGCGCAGTCGGATGAATATGAAATTCTTGCCACTTACGGAGAAGGAGTGCAGAATACTAATATGTATATTGTAACTAGCTACTCGCCCCGGCTTCGCACGGGTGTTCGCACACATATATATTATATATTTTTTCAACGGATTTACGGTTTATTTTAATAGAGGAAGGTTTATATATATGTCTATAATATACCTGAAAACAAACGCGCGATCAAATCTCTAACTATCCTTAATGAATATGATTGGTATACAGCGACAACAGTCAATCGTCGGCAGTATGCGGGGCGGAGTCCCCGCCGCCGTCGCCGGAGCCCGACGGGCTGCCGGGGCGGGCTCTGCACTACAACAACGTCTCCGTGAGTGCATATCTATACATCTATACATATAAATAAAATTGGAGGTGTCTGTTTGTAATATTGAAATAACAGTTTTTTACTAATGGCATATGAATATAAATGCTCTTCATTTAGACGGCCTCGGCGGTCTAGGTTACTAAGTAACAGTTATTTATTTATTTCTTTTATTTATATAAATAACAATGCACAAAATATCAAGGTAAAAGTACATATGGCGGAGTTATTTGCAGCAGCAGCAGAGGTTTTTTTTTGTTTTTATCACAGTTGCACTTTACATATAACTGTTACTTATCAACATGAAAACTAATTTTAAATGTGATGGATTATACTTGTATATATGTACATACACACATATAATTTAAGACCCTGCATCAAATGGTCCTTCGAGCCGGATCAATTAATATAAGGTCCTAAACTATAGACTTCTTAAATTAAATGCTTTATGGACTGTAAAATTTATATAATTGAATATGTACTCGAGTCGCGCCCCGCAGCATCGCACGTGGACTCGAGCCTGCGATGCTCAAGCAATAATGTTTGTTCTAAAATGAATGTGCGTAATAGTTTGTTTGTGCGCGTGGGGCTGCGCAGGGCCCGCGCTCCCCCCCCGCGCCGGCCGCGCCGCCCGCGCCCCCCGCGCCGCCGCCGCCGCCCCGCACGCCGCGCACGCCCCGCACGCCGCGCACGCCCACCGTCAGCCGCTGCATGGCGCACGACATCGCGCACCGGTTCACCAAGTCCTTCAACATGATCGCCATCTGCGACTACTGCGACAAGCAGATGCTCTTCGGCTCCGGTCTCAAGTGTAAGGAGTGCAAGTTCAAGTGTCACAGGTGCGTATGTCTTAGGTAGAATCTGTATTCGTATCAAAAATATTACATAGATTGATAAAATCTTTTTTCGTGTCGAAAATATTACAAACAAAATGCTATGAACAAATATGTACGAGTAAGAATCATTCGTTCTTTATATAGTATAAAACGTAGTTGCTGTCGCTGTTTGTTCGCTTATGTCTTATAAATTACGCAAGAGTTTCTGTATATATAGCAACTTTATGCAATTTATCTCACGCATGTCTTATAAATAAAGAATCTTGAACTTTGAACAGATTTTAATGCTGTTTTCAGCAATATATAGTCATTCAAAAAGAAGGTTTATATGTAGAGTACATGAATATTATAGAACAAGCCGAAAATATTCAAAGATTTCTAATACTTTTATTCTTTATTTATTTATTTATTTATTTAAACCTTCATTAGTGTACGGTTTGATGCAGTCCTGACTCCCAAACTAACGTGAGCTGTATATCAAGAGTCATATAAAATGTTATATTCAATTTCAACTTTCTCAGAGACTGCGAAAGCAAAGTACCTCCATCGTGTGGACTCCCACCGGAATTTGTGGTGGCTTTCAAAGAAAAATTTCATAAAGATGGTAAGTACCAGTTCCGTGTATTTTCTGTAAGTAATATGTACCATAAAAGCAGCTGAAAACTTACTAGGAGATAGGGACTGAAATGCAGAAGTGGGTTAGTGTTAGAATTAAACCTCAGTTTTGGGTTTAACACTGAAATAATAATGCCCCCATGCCCCACAGGGGGAGGGGGGGGGGCGATTTGATTGTTATGGGGGCAGTTCGAAATTGAAATAGTTAACGATGACTATAAATGTACATGAGCTGTGAACGCTTTGTATTGTCGAGAAATAGAAAATATTTGTGTATACATGTATATAAGGTAATAAAAAAGTTTTTATAAAATTAAAAGGATATTTATTGCACTGTACTGTCTCTATGTGGTTACTGTCTATGCTCTGGTGAGTGCTACTAAACAGATACGTACGTATTGCAGCGCGCTTCTCTATACCTGGGACTCCAGAAAGGCACTATCAAGGTGAGACGTCTCGCAGTTGCAACCACAGTGTTCGATGGCTATTCTGTACCTTGGCTATTTTTTTATTATACATTCTGTGTGTTTCATCTTTACTCGTTGTTTGTGGTTCAATTATTATTTGATTATTACTATTTCTCTCTGTCTATTAGTTATTAAATTCTTCATAACTAGGACCCTAATAAATACGGACCTCTTTCGCTTACTTATTCATCAATTTATCATCTAAATTACTAGTTAAGTCTATTTTTTATTTAGCCTTTCACAGTACCTCACCAATATGGCGTCCAACGTGTGCCACTTGTACATATCTACTCGTTTCTTTCTCTATCGAAGCATTCTCTTTTCATATCGTACTTGCTAGTGAAATAAGTTTATATTAATACGTTTATATAAACATTAAATTGTGAATATGATCACAATGTATTTAATAATAGGATATATTTCAAATTGTTTCTATTTTCTATCAAACTTGCTGGTTGTCAGTGGTTTTATGTCTGTGAAAAAATATGTTTTTTCCGAGTCTGCATGCGATGTTTTTTGTGTTTTTACACTGCGTTTCCACAAAACATATTTACAATGTACTTTCATTATACATGTATAAAACAGATTAAAAAAACCTAAACCAAATACAAGTCATAATTGTTTTAATATGTATAATATTTTTTAAAGTAGGTATAATCTTTCTTATAAAAAATAAAACCTACAATAAATCAGGAATTTAATGACTGATTTTTTGCATTCATTCAAATAAAAAAAAAATAGCATCAAAGAAAAGGACATAAATAAATAGTTTATTAGGAGGCTTAGTATTTTTATGGATAAAGGGAACATGTTACGACATGGGAGCGTTTAGGTGGACACGCGGAAGAACAAACATTACATTTGTCCATATTTTCGGGAGAGATTTATTTCTTGTTTTTATGTGTGACTTTCGTGCATGGTTGTGGTGGCAAAGGGCTGTAGTACACGCAATATTTTTAGTATCTGCGATCAGCATATAACAGTTTATCTCATATCGATGCAGCACCAACCCATGGAGGTCTGGTTGGAATCCGGCTCGAAGGACCAAATGTTGTTTTCTTGCTAAAAGATCTTAACAAGTAACGAAAGGTGGTTAAATAAATAAATAATATCATTTTGTGTATAAATGCTGGTTCTGGACATTTCACTCCTCTATACAGATGCCAAAAACATTGGGTGTTTTAAGCGCGTGTGTGTTTAAATGTGTGATAGTATTTGTTGATTAGTTTACATAATGATTAACGGTACCTTGTAAATATTTATCAATAACGAATTTTGTATAGGTATAAAATTGAAATTTTGATGTTTGAAATTTGTCGTATGTGTTTTGTGCGTTGGAATTTCTCGACAAAGTATGATTAGAGGCTTTATAAAACGACTTCAAAAAAAGCTATCAAAGCTGCTGGAAATCATTTATAATATGTTTAATTATCTTCTTTTATACTCTATTTATTTATTCTTTATTGACACTACAAAGTGTGAGCGATAACGAACACGAGGTTGAATGACATCGTTTGTCGACAGTTCCGGTTACGATTCTATAAAAGACGTTCGCCGGTGTCAGCGCGGGGCTTTTTCCCTCACCATTTGCCCGCTTTGCCGTCACCATTCCGCCGCGCACGCGCCAATAAAAATATCTCGCCCGTGAGTACTGTGTTCTCCGTATAGCACTCCTACCGTGTAATTGTAAAACGGCGCCGATTTTCCGCGCACGCGCACGCGCCCGCGCAGCCGCACTACACCGTTAGGACTGACACACTACGTCACTCGGCGCAGCCCCCACCCCGCCGCGACCGCGCACGCGCCCGCGCAGCCGCACTACACCGTGAGTACTGAGTGTGGAGGTCCCGCGGCCGCCACCACCCCGCCTCGCACTGCGCTAGGCCCCGCGCCGCACTACACCGTGAGTACTGAGTGTGTAGGTCACGAGGGGCACGCCAACGTCAGAACTCCGTGCGCCGCTCACGCGGCGCCGCCCCCACCCCGCCGCGCACGCGCACGCGCCCGCTCAGCCGCTCTACACCTACAGTGAGTTCTGAGAGTTGGTCGCGACTACACCGTGAGTACTGAGTGTGTAGGTCCCGCGGCGCCCCCACCACCCCGCCGCGCAAGAGTAGGTCCCGCGGCGCACTACACCGTGAGTACTGAGTGTGTAGGTCCCGCGGCGCACTAGACCGTGAGTACTGAGTGTGTAGGTCCCGCGCGCACTACACCGTGAGTACTGAGTGTGTAGGTCCCGCGGCGCCGCCCCCACCCCGCCCCGCACTGCGCCCGCGCCCGCGCGGCAGCACAACACCGTGAGTACTGAGTGTGTAGGTCCCGCGCCGCACTACACCGTGAGTACTGAGTGTGTAGGTCCCGCGCCGCACTACACCGTGAGTACTGCGTGTGTAGGTCCCGCGCCGCACTACACCGTGAGTAAAGTGTGTTGGTCCCGGGGCTCACTACAGCGTGAGTTTGTGTAGGTCCCGCGGCGCCGCCACCACCCCGCCGCGCACGCGCACGCGCCCGCGCAGCCGCACTACACCGTGAGTACTGAGTGTGTAGGTCCCGCGGCGCACTACACCGCCACCACCCCGCCGCGCACGCGCACGCGCCCGCGCAGCCCCACTACACCGTGAGTACTGAGTGTGTAGGTCCCGCGCCGCACTACACCGTGAGTACTGAGTGTGTACTGAGTGTGTAGGTCCCGCGCCGCACTACACCGTGAGTACTGAGTGTGGAGGTCCCGCGCCGCACTACACCGTGAGTACTGAGTGTGTAGGTCCCGCGCCGCACTACACCGTGAGTACTGAGTGTGTAGTAGGCGCACGCGCAGCGCGCAGCCGCACTTCCTCGTGAGTACTGAGTGTGTAGGTCCGCCGCCCCGCGCCGCACTACACCGTGAGTACCCCGCGCCGCACCACCGTGCACTGAGTGTGTAGGTCCGCGCCGCTCTTCTGTGAGTACTGAGTGTGTAGGTCCCGCGCCGCACTACACCGTGAGTACTGAGTGTGTAGGTCCCGCGCCGCACTACACCGTGAGTACTGAGTGTGTAGGTCCCGCGGCGCACTACACCGTGAGTACTGAGTGTGTAGGTCGAGAGTACTGAGTGTGTAGGTCCCGCGCCGCGCCAGTACTGAGTGTGTACCCCGCGCGCGCACGCGCAGTACGCGCGCACTACACCGTGAGTACTGAGTGTGTAGGTCCCGCGGCGCACTACACCGTGAGTACTGAGTGTGTAGGTCCCGCGGCGCACTACACCGTGAGTACTGAGTGTGTAGGTCCCGCGCCGCACTACACCGTGAGTACTGAGTGTGTAGGTCCCGCGGCGCCGCCACCACCCCGCCGCGCACGCGCACGCGCCCGCGCAGCCGCACTACACCGTGAGTACTGAGTGTGTAGGTCCCGCGGCGCACTACACCGTGAGTACTGAGTGTGTAGGTCCCGCGGCGCCGCCACCACCCCGCCGCGCACGCGCACGCGCCCGCGCAGCCGCACTACACCGTGAGTACTGAGTGTGTAGGTCCCGCGCCGCCGCCACCACCCCGCCGCGCACGCGCACGCGCCCGCGCAGCCGCACTACACCGTGAGTACTGAGTGTGTAGGTCCCGCGCCGCACTACACCGTGAGTACTGAGTGTGTAGGTCCCGCGCCGCACTACACCGTGAGTACTGAGTGTGTAGGTCCCGCGACGCCGCCACCACCCCGCCGCGCACGCGCACGCGCCCGCGCAGCCGCACTACACCGTGAGTACTGAGTGTGTAGGTCCCGCGCCGCACTACACCGTGAGTACTGAGTGTGTAGGTCCCGCGCCGCACTACACCGTGAGTACTGAGTGTGTAGGTCCCGCGCCGCACTACACCGTGAGTACTGAGTGTGTAGGTCCCGCGACGCCGCCACCAGTACTGAGTGTGTAGGTCCGCGCACGCACTACACCGTGAGTACGCAGCGGCGCACTACACCGTGAGTACTGAGTGTGTAGGTCCCGCGCCGCACTACACCGTGAGTACTGAGTGTGTAGGTCCCGCGGCGCACTACACCGTGAGTACTGAGTGTGTAGGTCCCGCGGCGCCGCCACCACCCCGCCGCGCACGCGCACGCGCCCGCGCAGCCGCACTACACCGTGAGTACTGAGTGTGTAGGTCCCCGCGCCGCACTGTGAGTGTGTAGGTCCCGCGCCGCACTACACCGTGAGTACTGAGTGTGTAGGTCCCGCGCCGCACTACACCGTGAGTACTGAGTGTGTAGGTCCCGCGCCGCACTACACCGTGAGTACTGAGTGTGTAGGTCCCGCGGCGCCGCCACCGTGAGTACTGAGTGTGTGGTCCCGCGCGCACTACACCGTGCTGAGTGTGTAGCCCGCGCGCCGCACCGTGAGTACTGACACCCGCGCCGCACTGAGTACTGAGTGTGTAGGTCCCGCGCCGCACTACACCGTGAGTACTGAGTGTGTAGGTCCCGCGCAGCGCACTACACCGTGAGTACTGAGTGTGTAGGTCCCGCGCCGCACTACACCGTGAGTACTGAGTGTGTAGGTCCCGCGGCGCCGCCACCACCCCGCCGCGCACGCGCACGCGCCCGCGCAGCCGCACTACACCGTGAGTACTGAGTGTGTAGGTCCCGCGCCGCACTACACCGTGAGTACTGAGTGTGTAGGTCCCGCGGCGCACTACACCGTGAGTACTGAGTGTGTAGGTCCCGCGCCGCCGCCACCCCACAGTGGCGAACGCGCTCGAGCCCGCGCTGCCGCACTACACCGTGAGTACTGAGTGTGTAGGTCCCGCGCCGCACTACACCGTGAGTACTGAGTGTGTAGGTCCCGCGGCGCACTACACCGTGAGTACTGAGTGTGTAGGTCCCGCGCCGCCGCCACCACCCCGCCGCGCACGCGCACGCGCCCGCGCAGCCGCACTACACCGTGAGTACTGAGTGTGTAGGTCCCGCGCCGCACTACACCGTGAGTACTGAGTGTGTAGGTCCCGCGCCTCACTACACCGTGAGTACTGAGTGTGTAGGTCCCGCGCCGCACTACACCGTGAGTACTGAGTGTGTAGGTCCCGCGCCGCACTACACCGTGAGTACTGAGTGTGTAGGTCCGCGCACTACACCGTGAGTACTGAGTGTGTAGGTCCCGCGCACCACCGCGCGCGCCCCGCCGCCGCACTGACCGTGCCGCAGTACTGAGTGTGTAGGTCCCGCGCCGCACTACACCGTGAGTACTGAGTGTGTAGGTCCCGCGGCGCACGCCACCGTGAGTACCCCGCCGCGCACGCGCACCACCGTGCACCCGCGCGCACTACACCGTGAGTACTGAGTGTGTAGGTCCCGCGCCGCACTACACCGTGAGCACTGAGTGTGTAGGTCCCGCGCCGCACTACACCGTGAGTACTGAGTGTGTAGGTCCCGCGGCGCACTACACCGTGAGTACTGAGTGTGTAGGTCCCGCGGCGCACTACACCGTGAGAACTGAGTGTGTAGGTCCCGCGCCGCCGCCACCACCCCGCCGCGCACGCGCACGCGCCCGCGCAGCCGCACTACACCGTGAGTACTGAGTGTGTAGGTCCCGCGCCGCACTACACCGTGAGTACTGAGTGTGTAGGTCCCGCGCCGCACTACACCGTGAGTACTGAGTGTGTAGGTCCCGCGGCGCACTACACCGTGAGTACTGAGTGTGTAGGTCCCGCGCCGCCGCCACCACCCCGCCGCGCACGCGCACGCGCCCGCGCAGCCGCACTACACCGTGAGTACTGAGTGTGTAGGTCCCGCGGCGCACTACACCGTGAGTACTGAGTGTGTAGGTCGCGGCGCACTACACCGTGAGGACTGAGTGTGTAGGTCCCGCGCCGCGCACGCGCACGCGCCCGCGCAGCCGCACTACACCGTGAGTACTGAGTGTGTAGGTCCCGCGCCGCACTACACCGTGAGTACTGAGTGTGTAGGTCCCGTGAGTACTGAGTGTGTAGGTCCCGCGGCGCACTACACCGTGAGTACTGAGTGTGTAGGTCCCGCGACGCCGCCACCACCCCGCCGCGCACGCGCACGCGCCCGCGCAGCCGCACTACACCGTGAGTACTGAGTGTGTAGGTCCCGCGGCGCACTACACCGTGAGTACTGAGTGTGTAGGTCCCGCGGCGCACTACACCGTGAGTACTGAGTGTGTAGGTCCCGCGCCGCACTACACCGTGAGTACTGAGTGTGTAGGTCCCGCGCCGCCGCCACCACCCCGCCGCGCACGCGCACGCGCCCGCGCAGCCGCACTACACCGTGAGTACTGAGTGTGTAGGTCCCGCGGCGCACTACACCGTGAGTACTGAGTGTGTAGGTCCCGCGGCGCACTACACCGTGAGTACTGAGTGTGTAGGTCCCGCGCCGCACTACACCGTGAGTACTGAGTGTGTAGGTCCCGCGCCGCACGACACCGTGAGTACTGAGTGTGTAGGTCCCGCGCCGCACTACACCGTGAGTACTGAGTGTGTAGGTCCCGCGCCGCACTACACCGTGAGTACTGAGTGTGTAGGTCCCGCGCCGCACTACACCGTGAGTACTGAGTGTGTAGGTCCCGCGACGCCGCCACCACCCCGCCGCGCACGCGCACGCGCCCGCGCAGCCGCACTACACCGTGAGTACTGAGTGTGTAGGTCCCGCGCCGCACTACACCGTGAGTACTGAGTGTGTAGGTCCCGCGCCGCACTACACCGTGAGTACTGAGTGTGTAGGTCCCGCGACGCACGACACCGTGAGTACTGAGTGTGTAGGTCCCGAGCCGCACTACACCGTGAGTACTGAGTGTGTAGGTCCCGCGCCGCACTACACCGTGAGTACTGAGTGTGTAGGTCCCGCGCCGCACTACACCGTGAGTACTGAGTGTGTAGGTCCCGCGGCGCACTACACCGTGAGTACTGAGTGTGTAGGTCCCGCGCCGCACTACACCGTGAGTACTGAGTGTGTAGGTCCCGCGCCGCACTACACCGACACCGTGAGTACTGAGTGTGTAGGTCCCGCGCCGCACTACACCGTGAGTACTGAGTGTGTAGGTCCCGCGCCGCACTACACCGTGAGTACTGAGTGTGTAGGTCCCGGCCGCACTACACCGTGAGTACTGAGTGTGTAGGTCCCGCGCCGCACTACACCGTGAGTACTGAGTGTGTAGGTCCCGCGCCGCACTACACCGTGAGTACTGAGTGTGTAGGTCCCGCGCCGCACTACACCGTGAGTACTGAGTGTGTAGGTCCCGCGCCGCACTACACCGTGAGTACTGAGTGTGTAGGTCCCGCGCCGCACTACACCGTGAGTACTGAGTGTGTAGGTCCCGCGGCGCACTACACCGTGAGTACTGAGTGTGTAGGTCCCGCGCCGCACTACACCGTGAGTACTGAGTGTGTAGGTCCCGCGCCGCACTACACCGTGAGTACTGAGTGTGTAGGTCCCGCGCCGCACTACACCGTGAGTACTGAGTGTGTAGGTCCCGCGCCGCACTACACCGTGAGTACTGAGTGTGTAGGTCCCGCGCCGCACTACACCGTGAGTACTGAGTGTGTAGGTCCCGCGCCGCACTACACCGTGAGTACTGAGTGTGTAGGTCCCGCGCCGCACTACACCGTGAGTACTGAGTGTGTAGGTCCCGCGCCGCACAACACCGTGAGTACTGAGTGTGTAGGTCCCGCGCCGCACTACACCGTGTGTACTGAGTGTGTAGGTCCCGCGCCGCACTACACCGTGAGTACTGAGTGTGTAGGTCCCGCGCCGCACTACACCGTGAGTACTGAGTGTGTAGGTCCCGCGCCGCACTACACCGTGAGTACTGAGTGTGTAGGTCCCGCGCCGCACTACACCGTGAGTACTGAGTGTGTAGGTCCCGCGCCGCACTACACCGTGAGTACTGAGTGTGTAGGGCCCGCGCCCGCCTACACCCCGCCGTACGCAGGAGCGCACGCGTCCCGCAGCCGCACTACACCGTGAGTACTGAGTGTGTAGGTCCCGCGCCGCACTACACCGTGAGTACTGAGTGTGTAGGTCCCGCGCCGCACTACACCGTGAGTACTGAGTGTGTAGGTCCCGCGCCGCACTACACCGTGAGTACTGAGTGTGTAGGTCCCGCGCCGCACTACACCGTGAGTACTGAGTGTGTAGGTCCCGCGACGCCGCCACCAACCCGCTGCGCACGCGCACGCGCCCGCGCAGCCGCACTACACCGTGAGTACTGAGTGTGTAGGTCCCGCGCCGCACTACACCGTGAGTACTGAGTGTGTAGGTCCCGCGCCGCACTACACCGTGAGTACTGAGTGTGTAGGTCCCGCGCCACACTACACCGTGAGTACTGAGTGTGTAGGTCCCGCGCCGCACTACACCGTGAGTACTGAGTGTGTAGGTCCCGCGCCGCACTACACCGTGAGTACTGAGTGTGTAGGTCCCGCGCCGCACTACACCGTGAGTACTGAGTGTGTAGGTCTCGCCCCGCACTATACTGACACTGAGTGACTTTTTATGTTTTGTGCTAGTTTTCGACGACGAAGAAACATATAGTCATCATCTATAAACCTAAATAACAATATAAACAGAACGACAACGACCTCGGCAACCCGTCCGCCTACTATTATAGGTCAAGGCTAAGTATAATGTTTTTAATTATGGACTCGTTCTTGCAGCAGGGCGGGCCTGACTCGTCGTCGAACACGTCGTCGTGTAACAGCTCAGCGCCGTCGTCGCCCGCGCTGGCGCCGCCCGCCACGCCGCACCACCACCACCACCACGCGCCCCACGCGCCCCACCCACCCCACGCGCCCCATCCGCCCCACCCGCCCACGGCCAAGCAGCAGTTCCATTTTCCAGGTAACGTTACATGGAATATTTATTTTTTACACACTAGCTCGTGAAGTGGTTCTAGTATATAAAGCAACTTTTTGATATATAAAACAGCTCATAAAGGACGCGTTCGTTATAAAGGCAATTTACGTCAAGAAAATAATTTTAGAAATTTGTCATAATCTTGCTCATCTCTGAGACCGAGAGCTGGACGGATTTTGAGGAGACTTTCATTCACAGATAGCAAATGAAATAAGGCGTAACTTCACTACTTTTATTTTATTTTTAATTGTGTTCTTCTCATTTGAATCTGTATACTATACTGGACGGTAAGGAAAAAAATATAAAAAATAATTGACGTTCATAAGCGGCTAAAATGTTCTACATTAATTATTTTTTAATTTGAATTTGAATTTAGAATTTTTAGTTATTCTAATTCCGCGCGGACAAAATCGCGGGTAACAGATATCGACAATTCTTATTGTTACCGAAATGGCTAACAAGCTAAGGGCCCACCTGATGGTAAGTGATGAACGAGACAAGATTTGAAGGATATTCTTAGGAGCAATCGTTTTTAGTTACTTTTAAACTTTCGTGTTTAATATACATACATTATTTAAATTATTAACCGGGTCTTAACACGAATAATTTTATGGCAAATAAAGGTATTTACCTCTCTCGACGTTTCTACTAGGTTGCACTAGCCGTGGTCACGAGCTGACTGAAGCAACAGCGATGTCAATGTAGATAGGTGATAGCAGTTTTTTCTTCATCTACCGTCACTAGATTGTTTAACGAAAGTTCGCGACACACAGCACTCACGGTATCCGTACACTTATTGACTATTGATGCTACTGAACTTTGCTTGAATTTATTTATGACTGAATTCCACGCAGATAGTAAATACCTTTATTTGCCATAAAATTATTCGTGTTAAGATCCGGTTAATAATTTCAATAATGCAATTGTTTTTATCTACACAGGATGGAGTGTATACTCTCTAAACAAAATATTTTGCTCTTCAGCTTGGCAAAATTTATATTATAATTGTATTAAATATATATATATATATATATATTATATAATATATAATCTAATCTAATATAATATATATATGTTATATTATATTAGATATTATAATTATATTGGCAATTATAATATCTTTGTATTATCTGTGCGATACAGAATATATAATCTTAAAAAATCTGCAGATTTTTGTTGACACAGACCCAACTTTGCGTTTAATCAATTTGCAGTGTTCAGTGAGGGCCTTCGTTTTTCTTTTTACTCAATAGCAATAGTCTATTGGAGTTCTAACATATATACATAATTACAATTAAAGATTGTATTTTATAATGTTTTTTTTTTAACGCACAGACGTAAAACCTCCCGTGTCAAGTCCGAACCACACGTCGGCGGTGTCGCCGGCGCGGAACGCGGACAGAGACGAACTTACCTCCAGCGTCAAGAGCGGTTAGTATAATATCTATGGTATATTATAACTTTCAATTGTAGAAGTAATCTGTGTCTATGGTATCTTATTCCCCTGCTTTTGGGAGAGGTTTGAATATCCCCATAATGCAGCAGAAAACTATATACTGATAGAAGAAGGAGAATGTGGGAGTCCGGGCTAAACCGAATCTACAAGTCATATCTTATATATAAAACTCTCGTGTCACAGTTTTCGTTCCAATACTCTTCCGAAACGGCTTGACCGATTGTCATGAAATTTTGTGAGCGTATTGAGTAGGTCTGAGAATCGGCCAAAATCTATTTTTCATTCCCCTAAATGTTAGGGGTAGTCCACCCCTAATTTTTTTTTTTATTTTAAGGCAAAACAACCTTAGCCGGGACAGCTAGTGTAATATATATCTTATTTTTTATAAGCTTAGACCTCGATAGTCTAGAGATTAGCATCTCGCGTTACTTTCAATGATCGCGGGTTCGATTCAAACATTTGTATTCGTCAGTATGATTGTTTGCATTCATTTGGGGATTTTTTTTAGGGTAATTATGGGGGTGTTTACAAAAAAATGTGTTAGTATATCTATTACAAGGCCTGGTTACTTAAATATTATTCTTATTATTCACTTTTCTCCTCCCAAACAATATAAGGTGGTACATACATTAATGAGGTAGTGTCACTACCTTGACACTACCTCATTAATGTATGTACCTCATACATGTAATGTACGAACCAGAAATTGTAGCGTATATTGTATATGTAGTCTCTTATCCGTAGGTTAATCTATGTGATAGATAATAATAGATAGTACTTGTGTTATGTATACCAGACAACAAACAGAATCTACAGATATATTTTTGTAAATCCATACATAAGAAACACTATGCCGTTACGAACAATCAAACCCATGAATACTAATATTTCCAACGCGCGAGGTATCGAACCCCCTATCGTTGCAAGGCATTAGTTAGCCGTAGTTGGTATACTATGTGTATGTGTTGTTAATGTGACGTCGTTGCAGACCGGTCGCGCGTGTCGCTGACGGGTTCGAACTCGACGGACAGCAGCGGGCCGCCGCGAGCCGACTCACTCGACGCACACGGCAACCACGCAGACGCGCGCTGGCCACGCCAGAACAGCGTCAGTATATATTGTCCTATTAATCTATACATATAAACAAAATTCGAGTGTCTGTTTGTAATATTAAAATAACCGTTTTTTTACTACGTGCATATGAATATTAATACGGTACATACACCAAAATAACATTTGTTATAATAAAATTTTTGTCTGTCTGTCTGTCTGTGTGTTCCGGCTAATCTCTGAAATGGCTGGATCAATTTTGACGGGACTTTCTTTGGCAGGTAGCTGAGGTAATAAGGAGTAATTTAGGCTACTTTTATTTTAAAAAATGAAGTTAAATTTCATGCGGACAAAGTCGCGGGAACAGCTAGCAATAATATAAACGAGAATGTCCATCCATCCATACTAACATGGATGTATGGACATAAATGTATGACATAGAACGCACTTGATATTTGAAACGCAAATGTCCATCCTTCCATCTATAAGAGTAAGGATGGATGAACAGAAATGTATGCCAAAAACCCACTTGACACTTGGGAGAAGAAGAAGGAAGAACTTGTAACTAATGGAGGTAAAAATGTTACTCAATATTAAGAACGCAAAAGTTTGTGAGTATGGATGAGTATGGATGGATGGATGTTTGTATATTTCGTCGCGAATAAGGCACAGAACGGATTTTGACTGAAACTTTACAGTGCTTTATAGTTTCAAAAGTAATGCTTTAGCACAAAATCATTACATTTATTTCTTTAAATATAAAATGAACGTTTTTGAAAATGGAACGTCGAATGACAAAAAACTACGATGTTTTTTTTTCTTTTATAAAAATGACATAGATAGCTTCTCGTACATTCCACGGCGTCACCACAATAAATATATAGTATCATTTTATTATTATTACAACATGCAATATTCCTCAAACCAACACACTTGCTGTACTAAAAATAAATAATATTCTCGTTTTTATTAAAAAAAAAGGTCTTTTTCGAAGTGATGACAAGCGCTTCTTTTGTAACATAATTGCAGGTGGATGCAATGATTTTATTTAGTTTTCAATGTCATAGGGCAGTGCGGACTCTTATGAAATGTAGCGTTAATTGCTCTGTGGTCGGTGGTTTAATGAACTCTGGCGATAACACGGTGATTCATCCCGCATTACTAACTACGACTGCCGGTTAGTAATGACCGCGTCTCTCTCGCGATTACAGGAATTACTTGTTGTTTATGTATTTTACGTAGAAGTGTATATAAACAATTAATTTTAAACTTTCGCGTTTTTATTCACATGGCGTCCGCTTTGTTTTGAGCTTGAAAAATATGATTAACCATAGACAATTGTCTAGTTGTTTTTAAATAAACAAGTTCGGAATACGGTTTGTTCTGTAATTGACAGTTTTCATGTTCTAAATTCTAATTAAAAATAAGTTTATTTTTTTATTGGTTTACGGATTTTCACTTTCATTCAATCTGGAATTTAATTAAGAAACAATAATTAAGCTGTAATAATGGCTTTTTGATTATCATTTATTGCTTAAATTACTTAACATAATTCTTATAAGTGTTTGGATATTATGTTATTATTTAAGATCTTATCCTTACAGAGAATCTTTTCAATTATTTTTCATTTTCCTTGAATTATCGAGATATTTTAAGAAAGTTTGAGAATTTTGTTTTCTAATAGTTTGTTAATAAATTGTTTAATTGAAAATCTCTATAAAAGTTGAAATATGACGGACTTCATGAAACGGCGTCGATTATTTGAGGAAGTATGTACTATGTTTAATTATGTTTTCATTTATCACACTATTTTACATATAATATTCATATTTAGATTGGAACCGACTTTAACTATGACTATTCAAAAGTGCTTAAATTGAGTTTATTTGAATAAATGATTTTCTATTCTATTCTATATACAAATTTCTGTTTTGTATCATTGGAAGATGTTTTTTAATGTTGACAGCTTTCTCGCTTGTTTCGAAAAAAAAAGAAAGTAACTTGTTATGAAGATAAAATATTTTTTTTAAACCTTATTTGGTTTTTAAATATTCTCTTGTTACAATGTCAATTACCTTACTCCGCCGAAACGGCGTGACCGATTATTATGAAACTTTATATGCATATTCAGTAGATCTGAGAATCGGCTATTTATTTTTCATACTACTCAAAATTTCTTAATAGCGATTTTAATGGATGTAGTAAAACAACGTTTGCGGGGTCAGCTAGTAATACAATACGTCTGCACATATGCGCAGTTGTCAATGAAGGAGTGGGACATCCCGTACGACGAGCTGAAGCTGTTCGAGACGATCGGCACGGGCCGGTTCGGGACCGTGTACCGCGGCAGCTGGCACGGCGCCGTCGCCGTCAAACTGCTGCACGTGCACTCGCTCACCGACCACGGCGTGCCGCTCGACACCTTCAAACACGAGGTACGCTCGCACTCGCCGTCACCATCACCATCACCGCCATCATCACCATCACCCTCATCGCCATCGTCACCATCACCTTAACCGCCAACGTCACCATCACTATCACCATCACCGCCATCGTCACCATCACCCTCATCGCCATCGTCACCATCACCTTAACCGCCATCGTCACCATCACCATCACCGCCATCGTCACCATCACCCTCATCGCCATCGTCACCATCACCCTAACCGCCATCGTCACCATCACTCTCACCGTCACCATAACCACACAAACTGCCATGGGCTCAGTGTGGCGCAGCACTCTAATATATTATATAACAAGCAAACTATACACGCCGTCTTACTCCAAGTAATTAGTTCACACAAAACGGTTACACTCTATAGCACCCCGTATCTGTATGTTACTTTTTGTGTCGACTGTCGAGTATTAACTTTCTTACGAATAATAAGTATCGTAGTTCGTAATTATATAATTTATTTTGTTAGGTATGGTTGGGTACCTTATTAACGAAATATTCCTTAATATTCCTTTGGAAAGTATACACTATATCGTGATGAGATAAAAACCATCACTACGTAGTAGCGAACTTTGAATAAGGCGAGCACAATAGATCTGTACAGGTCTTAGCATCTGACATAGCCCAAACACCCCAAAAAAAAAATAGGTACCTTACATGTCAGAGCTAGGTAGGGTTGGCTGGGGCACTTGCCCCACCCTGTCCTGGCTCTCTTTTATCCCATTAATAAAAACTCATCATCTACTTCTTCCTTATCCGATTTATTTGGGGTCGGCGTAATGTTTTTCTCTTCCATTCATCTCTGTTCGCAGTCATTTCGTTATTTACTCCCTGTCTTACCATATCATCTTTCACACAGTCCATCCAGCTCTTTTTCGGTCTTCCTCTGCCCTTATAACACATCCACATTCATATGTAACACCTTCCTTAAGATATGATCTTCATTCCTACGCATTACATGCCAATACCACAATAGACTATTACTCTTTAACCTCATCATGGCATAACAAATGCGACTGTTTCAAACAGGTGGCGACGTTCCGGAAGACCCGCCACGAGAACCTGGTGCTGTTCATGGGCGCGTGTATGAAGCCGCCGCGGTTAGCCATCGTCACGTCTCTATGTAAAGGCATGACGCTGTACACGCACATCCACATACGAAAAGACAAGTTCAACGCCAACAGGAGTGTTATTATAGCGCAGCAGATATCTCAGGTGTGTGTATATATGTGTAGAGGTATAATCTTAATAATATTATAAAAGCGAAAGTGTGTATGGATCGTGGATGGATATTTGTTACTCTTCTACTTCTAACGATTTATACTTTTTGATGAAACTGTACAGTAATATAGCTTCATCACAATATATAATATATAGGCTATAAATTTCATGCAGATGAAACTGTGGGCTCAGCTAGTAATAAATAAATGATCCTGGACAATTAACACAGCGCCATCTATTAAGCAGAGCTTGTGTTTGGGTATTAAACAACCAATATAAAAATTTACGTTTTTTTAGTAACATACATAATATACATTGAAATCGCCTAAACAATCATACTCATGAATACATATTGTTATTGTTGCGACGAATCGAATCTGCGACCATCGGAAATAAATGTCAAAACGTCACACGTCAAAAATGTAATGCCGTCGAAGAATGGTAATCGATTTGGCGTTTGATTAATGTTACTATACCACGTGATATATCGACCCTTTCTGATTGATCCCCCCGTCCAATTCAAAAGGGCATCGAAATTACGACGAACTGGGCCGAGGTTCTATCTCCTAGCGGTGCCCTCAGACTAAAGTCGTATCCGTCAGGAGGGAGTTGGCCTTCAACCGCTCTATAAGTCCTTCCGCGCGTTTTGGAGTGCCATCTGCACTCTCCCCCTATCATCTGGTGAAACTGTAAGGGCCAGCTGAGGCCAACAGTATTACAGTAGTTCAGAAATAGCTATTTTAATTTATATGGCAACACACACAGGCGCTGGTGTGAATAAATTATATTAATAGATAGAATATTCTTTATTTGTACCATACAGTGATGAAAAGGTATCATTCATTCATCCATAACTTAAGAGCTACGCTCTTGTCGGTGGAGCTCTTGCCATTTTCCGCGATCTTCCATCATGCTCTTTAATTCTTGATACGACACGACTCCCATTTTGTCCTCAATTTGTTTGATGTAGCTATTCCTTGGTCTTCCCCTCCCCCTCTTTCCTTCTATTTTTCCCTCAAGATGAAAAGGTATAAACAATATATTAAAGAACAAATATATAGTTACAATAAGGCGGCCTTATTGCTGAAAGCAGTCTTTTCAAGGTGTTCATTATTGTATAATTAATTTAAATAATTGATTAATGTGTATATAAAACCATTTTGCAGGGTATGGGTTATCTACACGCGCGGGGTATTGTCCACAAAGATTTGAAGACGAAGAATATATTCTTAGAGAACGGGAAGGTGGTCATCACAGACTTCGGCCTCTTCAGTGTAACGAAATTGTGTTTTGGAAACAAGTTAGTATTTATTAATAATAATAGAAAAAAAACGAACGAACTTCGTGTAAAAATACGATTTGGTGAAATTGTTTTGATCCATTGTTGAATCCATTGAAAAAGATAAATCTCAGATCAAGTATAGGATTTTATTGATTATTGTGGAACTAACGTTTGATTTACTCTCGTTTCTTCAAGTTTTTATTCTTTAGTTAAATGGTGATAATGGATTGTTGCACCCAACTGCACTAACGGTATACGATGGCGGTGCTCCAGTGGAGGATGATAGGATTAGCATGAGGTTAGGTCAGTAACCCCGTCATGGCAAACTCGCCAGAAAGCTTGTTACCAATGGTGTCATTAGTCCCATGGGATATTACTAACAATCACCTTCCCCCGCCAGTTTGTATTTAGGATACTAAAGGAAAGCTTAACGCTATTGGGATGATTATATTCTGCATACATTTAAATATAATAATAATAATCTCAGGACAATTCACACAGAGCCATCTAGACCCAAGTTAAGCTAGCTAGAGCTTGTGTTATGGGTACTAGAGAACTGATACATATACATAGTTTTTTTTTTGTAAATACATACATATTATACATAGAAAACACCCAGATCGATACAAACAATCATACTCGTGAATACAAATGTTTGTGCCGTGCGAGGAACCGAACCCGCGACCATCGGTCGTGTCGTGTGCTTGACCGCTAGACCACCAAGGTTGTCATATATCTTGCTTTGTCGGTTTGAGAAAGTTCTGGCCTCCACTACTAGATAAGGTAAAATTTAACTTTTATTATTATTATAGTCTTGATATGGTATAGACTGTATGAGTAGAAAGGTACTAAACATCAATGCTAAGAAAAGAAACATGAAAGACCTCAACTTACGTGGACTAATATACGATTCAGAGAGGAAGCGAGAGGAGACGACTGATTTGGCGAGCTGAACCCACTTAAGCAGGGATAAGGCTGGAAGAGCAGTATTGACGTGGTGTTGTTCCATTTACAGTGCCCGAGGAGACAGCCTGGGCATCCCCCCGGGCTGGCTGTGCTACCTGGCGGCCGAGCTGGTCCGGGCATTGAGGCCGCACGCCTCGTTACACCTCCCCTTCTCGAAGGCTACCGACGTCTATGCTTTCGGGTATGACTTTCAATGTAGTTTAATATTATTCACTCCACACTCCCAATATCCAACAATTTTAAAAATCTATAATACTAGTTTATCCATTACAACATCTTGGGTATAATGAACAACTTGGTAATAGAATTATTATTTAATTTTTAATTTAATTTATTTGTTTTTAATTGTGTACGTTCTAGCCGCTGATGAACGTCAAGTTTTTTGTATTAATTGTTTTCCCTACCATCCAGTTCAGTATACAGATTCAGTTGAAAAGAATTGGCAAGAAACTCAATTTTTTTTAATGTTTTTCCCTACCGTCTACCGTATAGGTGTCTATGTCTAACATTAAATGAAAATCTCGTGCATGTATGACTATTGCCATGCACGTTTGTCATTTAAGTAACGTCAAGTATTATTAGTATATGGTACTAATTATAAACAGGTCTAGTTTTTAGTACTTTATGAATAATATATGTTGTGTTCTCATTTACAGCACGGTGTGGTACGAGTTACTATGCGGAGAGTATCCATTCAAAGGACAGCCGCCCGAAGCGATTATATGGCAAGTAGGCAAGGGCGTCAAGCAATCGTTGGCAAATATGCAGGCCTCCAGAGATATCAAGGTATATAATTATTGTATAAAAAAAATAATAGTATGTACTCAGTTATGGACTTTTCGGTTGTAACTGTGTCTTTGTCGGCTTGTTCGCCTTTATTGTGGTATGCAAAGTGACTTGAGTAGTAATCTGCACCCCTCTTTGTAAACTATAAGTGTATGAAATTTCATAAACCTACGTTCGCGCAGCATCGTAAAAAGGGGTGCAATTTTTATACTATTTATACTCTCTATAATACAGTATGGATATTTTTAATTATTATTTACAATGTATGTTTTTTATATGAAAAGGACATCCTGATGCTGTGTTGGTCATATCGGGCGAGTGAGCGGCCGGATTTCCCGAGTCTCTTGGTCACACTGCAGAAACTGCCGCGGAAGCGACTAGCACGTTCTCCCTCGCACCCCGTGCATCTGTCTCGCTCGGCGGACTCCGTCTTCTGAGAACGGCTAGCTGGCGCACTCTGCGTGCGGCCCTAGTAGCTCCTCAGTCACTATAGACTTGTTTCCTTTGACTCATTATAATTATTATAATTGAACAAAGTAAAGGAATCACTCGCATACAGCCAAAGATCATAGTTGATTACAAGATCACATTTCTGTATGCATAGAATTTATACAGGAAATAAAATATAGTGTGGTTGTTTATGAACTGAATTTTGATATTACACCAAAGCGTAATATGATAAATTCAGTTATGTTTCTCGATGGCGAATATGTGAAACCTTAGACTATCTTCGTACACTTCAGACACGGACTTTTTTCAGTTTTACGTAAACCTATCTATGTATTAGCAGAAAGACAAGAAATATGCTCAATAAACAAATTACTTGCCAACAAACCTTACAGGTTGAAAGGTATTAACATATAGGTGTTACTTGTACGGCAGTACGTATTTATTCGATAACGAATTTGAATATTTTGAATTTCTCACTACACAGCGTTATAGTGGGAACCTGTCGAAATATCACTAGTTAAAATGGGAGGGCAATATTGACAGTTTTTTTTTTGTAAATATATATGATTTTTGTTCGAATATTTTGATTCCAGACGATTGAAAGTATAGTGTATGTTTTATTATTTAAGTTATGTAAAAATTGACGATCTTGTCTTCCCACTTTATGCAATAATTAATTTATAAATTTTACTGTTATATTTATTAATATAACGAACGGGTATTCGCTACTTAGTATGACATTATAGATATGTGAAACTTTTGTAAATTGTGTTAATATTAACTATTGTAAGTAAGCCCTGATCTCCGATTAATCGATAGATTATAAATTATATTTTCGTATTTTTAAAATGTGAAAAGTTGACTGCTTTGTTGATAATGTAAATAATGTACAGTGTTACGAAATTTTGCTGTGATTGAGTCTAGATAGGGCGCACTGAACTTTAATTGGACTCATCTGTTAGTAATTTATTATGAAAATAATATAAAAATAAACATTTCCAATCTTTTAACTCATTATTATAGTATTTGAAGTAAATACATATGTACAATATTGTTGTCGGTCGAAATTCTTTATTAGACTGAGTTCGTTATACAAAAATATATAATAAAACTCTTAACAGAAATACAATGTAAATATGAAGTATAAAACTATATGGCCAGTATGTCTGGAACATATATTATAATGTAAATCTTTTTATATTACAGAATAATATGTTTAATTCGTACATTAATTAATTAATTAATATGTTCTTTGTTCATAGTTAAAAATTTCAAAAACGAATATTGTTAAATCAAATTGCTTAAAATGATAAAATTTTTATGAAATTGTGGACTTGGTAAATGAAATGAGCATATATTATAAAAATGCTTAATGCTTTGATTCGGGTACGTATGTACTTTTACATTTATAAGATTGGAAATGGTTTATTGTAGCTAATATCCACAGTTTATTATAAATAATACAAAAAATCTCACAATACTATGTTGATACTAATTAATATCAGACACAGTAATGTTTTATGAATGTATATAGATGAAAAAATATCGTGTGATACGATTAGTATTTATCTAATTTTAAAAAACAGCGAATAAAATAATTATTTATTACGATAATTTGTTATAACAAATGGTAATCCATTCTTAATTGAAAGATTTCATAAGAAAAAGGTATTCGTAATAAGAACTCCTAAGTGGCAGTGCGCCCAAATCCTGAATACTTCGGTCTTAATAATAGGTTTAAGGATTGACACTTTTAATAACTACTCGAGTCATTTTCCAGTTGCGAATCTATAATTTAAAATTATTTCACTAAACATATAAATATGTAATTAGCGATCCAAAGACCAATAATGAGGGACGCCAGCAGGAATGGCTCAATTTCATGCATTGTTTTATACAATTTGTAAATAAATAAAAACATTCCTTTTGGTAGGTTGTTGAAGTTTTTAAACTTTGATCGTTACTATTTCATACTAAAGTACATTTGTTTATATACTCTTTTAAAGTTACCACTTTCTATAATGTTTGTAAAGAGGCTTAATGTTAGAACTAGGCTGATTTTGAACTGCGGACACAGTTGATGGGAGCGTGGTGTTAGGAATGAGAGAATTGCAATATAGTATCATATCACACTAAAGTACATAATACACAATCTGTTTATTTAACTTTAACTGTAATGTATGTATAAAATCACATATCCAATTATATATATATTTAATATGGTTAAAACGGTTCTTATAAGAACATTGTATATATGAATAATATACAATAATTGCAATAATTACTAAAATAAATTAACATTTTAAAATTTATACTAGCTATCTATACTGTTTTTGTATGGGTGTACATGTATTATACATATAAACCTTCATCTTGAATTACTATCTACTGCTGAAAATTGCATTAAAATCCGTTCTAGCATTCTTTCATTTCTAAATTCACGCTCGGTATACAGTTGTGCGTCGTTAACTAAAAATAAAATAACATTAATTTTGTAATAATGTGATTATCGGATTACTTTATAATTTACTTACTAAATTATTATTAAATATAATTAAACATAATGAAGAGACATTATTCTGGTCACTCAACTCCTATTAAAGTGATAGTTGTTGTAAATTAATGAAACTCGCTGAAGTAATCAACATCGCCACAATAATATGTATATATAGTGAGTGTTTGTGGCACGGCTTGGTCGATTGTAACATATAATATATTTATTCAATTATCAATAGGTACAGATTAAAATTGGAATGCAGTCAGTTGTAGTTTTACATATGTATTGAGATTTCGAAATGATTAGGTTAGTTGCATTTGCCAAAATAAATCCCATCATTGTTATACCTTTCTTTGTTATTTATACCATCTATTTACAGCAGCACTTCAACATGTAAGTTATTTACCCTAATTACACATTGTAAAAATATTGATATTTTTATTTTGACAAGATTTAAAGTACATATGTCGGACTTAACACCATTATCAGTTTTATCTACCAGTCAACTATGGATAGTGCAAAGAATAATTGTTGGTAGTGAATATACAATATAGTATAGTAATTTGAATGGCAAAGAAGCTAATGGCCCACCTAATGTTGAGTGGTAACGTCATTACATTTCTTTTTCTTATAGATGATGATATAATGTTGCACCTGTCTGCGCTAATGGTATATGCCAGCGGGGCACCAGTGGAGGATGATAAGATGAACGTGAGGTTACGTCAGTTAGCCCATCGTGGTAAATTCACCATGAATTTATCACAATGGTTTCAATCACTTGGTCAGGGAAAACCATGTGGTGGTCTACCTGACAGTACATGAGTAGCAATGTGGTTATTAGTCCACATTACTAACAATCCTCTCCCCCCCCCCCTTCCCAGAAGTAACATGAACATGAACTGTCATTCATGGTGTGTCATGTCAACAAGGATATCATGTGGGACCTGTGTTACCATTCCAGTGGACTATGATGTCATACATCTTATCATATAATTTCACTGATTAATCTCATGCTACAACTGCAACAGCTCACAAAGCAAGCTGCTTGGTGGCTTAAATAATTTGAAATTGAGGTTGCCATGCACCACACATTTCTTACAAGTAACCAGGGAGGTCAAGATGACATAGTATTTTAATAGGGTCATTGCTCTACATTACTGACGATTCCCTACACAATTTTATTTTTATTTCATATCCATATCTTGCAATCGGTTCAAGTCTACCAGATTTGTTGTTATATGATGTTATATATTAATAATTGATGGGAGAGAACTGGAAGTGATGGGAGAGTACTAACTATCTAAATGACTGTTTTTTCACATTAATGTACAAATCCCAGGCATGATGTCTTTTAAGCCTTCGGTTCAATGGGTCACATAGTGCTGTTGCAAGGATGTTAGTATGCAATAGTAGTAATATCACCTTCCCAATGTATTTTATTAAGTCAATACACTTCCAGTCCCTCCTGAATTATATATTTTAAGTCCTGGAAATTAGATGACTGAATATTAAATGGGGGACACCATTTCATAATGATCCATAAAAAAAAAACAACTAAAATTATCAACAATTATATTTATTGCTGATATTTTATAAATCCAGTTACTAATATTGTGCTATGACACATGTCCAGCTAATATAGATGCTATATTTATGCACATACTTTTAATTTCATCATTACTCAAGTACTCTGATGCTAAAATAGCATTTCCTACAGCTATGGTCTCCCTCATGGAGTTAGCTCTGATCCATATTCTCCCATTCATTCCCGCGGCCAGTTCAAATGGCCATTCATTCTTCATAGACTCTATTAATTTACAATTAGGGTTTAATATCTTTCTAACCAGATTCAAAGAGCATCTGAAGACAAATCCTTCATTCAGAACACCTAACCGACCTTTCTTGCCATGTGAGTCTACACATACTATTTCTGGTTCCATGTCTTTACTAGCCACAAGCATTTTTGCGTATAATACATCCCCCACTTGAACTTCTGGTCTGTTCTTCTTCGTTGCATTCTCGAAGGAGAGGTAAGAAAGAGAGGCATTACAACTGCTTCCGATGTCTACGCGGAAAATGTCGCCGGCTTTCTGCACAACAACACCAATCACGTTTTCACCTCTAGAGGGCACGTATCGTTTCTGATAGCTGTCCACCCAAAATGTATTGGGTGCACGTTTCCTAAGGACTCCGGCCTTGGTGACATATACCTTTTTGATTTCTTTCCGCAAGCCGGGTCCTAGGATTATTTTGCCTTTTCCACCTGCAGCTTCAATTTCTTCTGAAAAGTCACCGGGCAACACCACATCTCCGATCGTAACTTTCATTACGTTGATATTATAATAGCATATGTAATTGATGTTATTGAAATTATAAATCTGAATTAATTCTAAACAGTTCTATAAAAATGTGATTTCGACAACTGATACAAAGAAACTTAACCACAGGAAGACAAGACTCACAAGACTGACAAAAGTGACAAAAAATAAATAAAATTTACCAGACTACCAAACAAACAAACGACAACTGTCTAATGCCACTGACAGATGCTAATATGACTATGTATATTTTAGTGAAACGACTTGGCTGTATGGGCTGAGTCCTTTTGCCTTTCTCTAAAAAGGGAAACCCGAACCAAAAAAAAAAAAAAAGTGAAACGACTAACCACAGATTATAGACATTGAAATGTCATTCGGAACAAACAATTCATAACTTTACATAAGGAATTTAATTATTAAACTGTATTGTTTTTAATTTTTAAATTGTTACTTAATAATTAAACATTAGTTGCTGTAATTTAATCTTTGTTGATTGAACAACACTAATGACAATGACATAAAGAAAAAATGATGTTTCAAATAAAAAATAGCAATATTTTGCATAACGCATATTTTTTTTCATATAATTGTAATTATTTAATAAAACATTAACTAATAGCATAATATATATAACGAAATATTTAATGTTGGAAATCTTTCGAACAATCAACTGTCGACGAAGACCAAGAATTTATCTATATTTACAAAAGTTAAGAACTTTTGTAAAAATAAAATTACATGCCTCTCGTATTGTATCCTAAAATTCATTACTAGGTTCCCTCACCAGTGAGCAAATTGCCTTAGCCGCACTACCTGAAGGATCGGTTAAGAACCAAGATATAAATTTTATTCAATAACATAATTGACTATACCAAAAAATAAATTAACTTTTGGTAATTATTCAAGATTTAAAATTTAATAACGTTTTGTTTCACATTAAAAAGCATATTTTTTTGTAACAATTGGCAACACTGAATTCATTATAAAAAAAATGTATTCGACTGAAGGACTTGTATCCATGGACATGTAAAGCATTATTAAAAAAAAAATTGTACACAGAGAGCAAAGCATGTACTAGGTTACAGATAGGTATAGGTGAGACTAGAAGTCTAGAATACAGAAAATCAATTTCCTATCGGAGGGAGTGGTTGAAAGGGGCAATAGGGTGTGCGCATGTCATATTTTGCTATAACCAATCATGTGGCTTTGACCAAAATGCTGAAATCAATAAAATATCAACATGCATATAATCGCCCATGAATAATTATTACTGAATCGTTCTTCGTACAGAGCACGTGTGTTTTGATTGTGATAAATGGTTATTTGTGTAAATTTTTATTTTCATTCAAACAATTCCTGAAGCCACAAGGCAAGTGCATCGTACATAAAAGTAAAGGCAATTTCGCGAAAATGCCGCCAATCATAATCGATGATGTCTTCTGTTACCGAGGCAGTAATTATTTGCGGATGAGACTACTGCTATCAACATTGAGCGGACGATCTGTTAAGATAGAAGGCATTCGGAATAAAGAGACCGATCCAGGTTTAAAAGATTATGAAGTGAATTTGATACGGCTGCTGGATAAGATTACGAATGGCACGAAGGTGGAGCTCGGCGAGACTGGTACTACCTTGTTCTTCCAGCCCGGTATTTTGATTGGTGGTCATGTTACCCATACTTGCTGCACACAGAGAGGCATAGGTTAGTATTTCGATTATTTTTTTTAATTAAATAATAATAAAGGAGGCCTATGCCAAAAGGCATACTGAAATGAGAGATAAAAATAAAATTAGTAAAGTTGAGAATATAGGGCTATATTATTATTTATTATTAATAATAATTAAAGCCTAGAAGGCAACCATAATCTTATTCAAAACAAAGACTTCTTGTTTGTGTTTTTAACAATGCCACAGGTTGTCAATATCAACGACGTAATTGCGCACGCAACCTTTAATATTTGGCTCACATTTTGCTGGGTATATTTGAATTCTATGTGGCTGGGAATAAGGCTACTCTGAATTCAATTAAATTAAAATTTGAATTTGATTTCAATGTGCGAACAGCCTACCCTCATCTTTCCGTTAATTATTGGTTTGCAATATAGGTATCATTCACCATTTTAAATGTCTTGTTTTGTGGAGCTTTATGTTTTGTCAAATGTAAATAACTTTTATATTGCAACTTTTGTTTGAGTTTTAATAAAGTACATTCATATCCTTTTATATCATCAGTCTGCTAATTAAAAAAAAACAAGCAAAGTCTTTAGCTTTATAATATTACTAGCTGTTCCGGCAAACATTGTTTTGTCTTAAAATAAAAAAAAAATTTTGGTGTGAACTACCCCTAACATTTAGGGGGATGAAGAATAGATGTTGGCCGATTCTCAGACCTACTCAATACGCTCACAAAATTTCATGAGAATCGGTCGAGGAGTATGGGAATGACACGAGAATTTTATATATAAGATTATATTATATGTATATATCTTATTATTATATATATTATTATATTATTAGACAGACAGATTGACAAAAATCAGTAGCGCGCGCAACTTCGCATGCGCGGTACCACCGCATTTAAATGTATATGTATGGAAACTTATGTGTAACAACATAAGTTTCTATACGACCTTGCATATCCCCTTACAACCCTTTTTTCGCATTAAAAAGTAGCCTATGTCCCGCGTGGAATTTAACTTTATATTACAAAATAAAATATTTTTTCTAGAATAAAAGTAGCCTAAGTTACTCCTTATTACATCAGCTACCTGCCAAAAAAAGTCCTTTCAAAATACGTCCAGCCATTTCAGAGATTAGCGGGAACAAATAGACAGACAAAAATTGTAAAAAATATTATTTTGGTCTGTGTACTGTATTTATATTCATATGTAGGTAGTAAAAAACGATTATTTCAAAATTACAAACAGACACTCTAATGTTATGTATATATATATATATATTTTGTTTATTTATGTAATCATATATATATCCTCATCATATATATAATTTTTCTGTATTTATTTATTTTTATATTAATTATTAAAGAGTGCCTTATTATCTCTGATGATCAGTGAGACGTATGACTGGTAGAGATTGCCATCAGGCATTAAGTCCGCCATTTATACATTTATGTCTGAAAAAATTGTATAAATAATCTATTTGTAATTTCAGGATATTACTTAGAGGTTCTCCTTGCCCTGGGTCCATTCTGTAAGGAGCCATTGAATGCTGTGCTACAAGGAGTGACCCACAGTGAACTGGATGTGTCTGTCGACAAACTGAAGGCTGCAGCGCTGCCCATATTACTGAAATTCATTTTAGTAGATGATGGACTGGACCTTAAGGTTGTCAGGAGAGGTATGTATATGGTCACCAACCATAAAAATAGGCTGGTGCACAATACAAAAAAAAATAGTTATCGCCCAGTGGTAGAAGGACTGTAATTAATTTAATATTCAGTAAGACTATAGGGCCCAACTGACAAAAGAAGAGAGGCAGAAAAAGAGATGGTTTGGTGACATAAAAAATAATGCTCGAAAAGACTTGATGCAAACTGCCATGGATATAGAGAGTTGGCAGAACATGGATGGGGCTTTTACCCAAGGGAGGCAACATAATAAGAAAAAAAACAACATTAGATAGTTAGAAAAATATGTGTTATATGGAAGTTTACAGCTATAATAATAAAAAATGACTAGACAAATAATATTAGAGAAAAACAATATTAATCTATTTTTAATTAGACCACAAACTTTAACAATAAACTACAGAGTATAGCCTGTGTGTCAAGCACATGTTTTTTTAATTGATTTAATGTATTTTTTATGCATAATTTAAAAAAAATATAGCATTCTGCATTCCTCTACATAAACAATACAAAACAAAAAATATTAATATATAGATATCCTTTTTCAGAAAGAAAAAAAACAATGAATGAATTATAAACTATCAAGAACACAGCAAAATATATGTATAGTAAAAAAAAAAGAAAACTTAAAAATTAACAGTATTAAAAGCTATTATTATTATTTATCCTTTACAGGTGCGCCTCCTTTGGGCGGTGGCGAGGTTGTATTCAAGTGTCCCGTGCAGCGCCACCTCCGGCCACTGCACTGGAAGGAATGGGGGCTCGTGCAGCGCATTCGTGGGGTAGTGTACGCTCTGCGCGTATCACCCACCATGGCTAACAGAGTCGTTGACGCCGCTAAAGGGGTCAGTATATCAGTATACAGGGGCGGTCTACGGCGGTAAGGGCTTTTTGGACTGCAGCCTATAGCCCCGAGAATACAATTGCAGCCGACGTGCCTCGCGACTGCAAACCGGACCTGTAAAATAAAACTAAAATATTAATAAAAATAAAAAACATATAGAAAAACACATAAAACATATAGAAATAACCATAACGTATATATAAATCCATACTTACCTTTTACTATATATATGTATAAATTGATACTTCACTGTTAAAATATATTGTTTGTTTGTAGGGTGTATATGTAAAATTTAATGTTACATACCTGTATACCTACTTATTTGGTAATGAAATTGATCCCACCGCTTGTGCGTAAATAGCGACACCTATAGCAGTTATCACTTCCCTCGCATCGCAGGCGAACGCATCCACGCGTATATATGCGCAAGCGACACGGACAGCTGTAAACTTCAATCGTTTTTCATTACTGAATATTTCACCACTTCACGCTTAACTGTATCGGCTTCAACAATGTTCCTTTTAAGTTTCCTTAGAGTTTCTCCCTAATTAGGTAGCCGAGGGTGGAAGGGATGATGATAAAAATTTTTGACATGCATATGTAACGAAATGTTAGATTAATGAAATGTTACATTATGGAGATATTATTTTAAATAGACTTTGAAATCAGTTGCAAATTATTAACATCTGTTATTATTATCTCTCTGCAATATAAAAATTCTCTTATTTCAGGTCATGTTGAAGTTTCTGCCAGATGTCTATATTAACACGGATCAGTGTCAAGGTCCCAACGCTGGGAGTAGTCCCGGCTACGGAATCAGTCTTGTGGCAGAGACCAATGACAAAACCGTTTACTGTGCTGAATCTGTAAGTATCTGCTATAACCCATTTTGACCCTTATAATGTTGGTTTACTAACAGAAAAATGGTCAGGTCTAATCTGTCCAACACTAAAAACTTGACATCTGACACTCCAGAAATGTAAATATAGTATAATAAACTAAATTAATCAAACTGAGTAATTCAATTGAGTTTCTTGCCAGTTCTTCTCAAATGGATCTATGTATATACTGAACTGGACGGTAGGGAAAAATTTATAACATAAAAATTTGTCGTTCATAAGTGGTTAAAATGTCCTACATGAATAAATTATTTTTAAATTTGAAATTTGAATATCAAACCCTAATTGCCAGATAATACATATGAAGCTACAGAAATGTATATCGTAACAAGCTAAATTAATAAAGGTGACCATTCTCGTCGAGGTCCTGCCACTGTCACTTTGTATTCAAATATACTAAGTGTAAATATACTATGTGACTTCCACGTCTGAAAGTACTGTCCTGACGGTGTATTTATTTGAAACATACTATGTTTTACACTAAATATTGGCTTTTAGTAATAGAGATGGTAAAAAATAATAAAATAATGCCAAACTGCCATCAAGTGGGTAAAATGCCATATGTTTTATCCAATACCCGAAAAAACCGTTCAATCGATTTAAGCTCTTCACAAGGATATCGTTTGTTGGCCCTTTGGAAACAAGTCTCGCATATCGAAAGGGATTTTTTTAATAGGGGTTAAAATTATTTTTTCAATCTTGCTTTGAAGCTTGTGCACCGTTCACCGGGGGAGAGATTGTTAGTGATGAAGATTAGTGATCACATTGTTAGCAATGCACCACGTCAGGTCAACCGTCACGCGGTTATTGCTGGGCACCATCGCTAGTTTATTCCTAACGAGTTTGCGATGAGCTAACTGATTTCTCTTCTTGCTCATCCTGTCATGCTTCACTGGTACCTAGTCAATGTATAGCGTACCTTTAGCGCAGGCGAGTGCACCATGCTAGCCTTGGATACCCGCCGCCAGCGTATACATAAAAAAGATACCACTCACCTCCTATACTCACGTATACATAAACCCAAGGAAATTTATCATGGGAAAAAAATAGCAAAAGCATCAGATATATGAAGGCCATTATATATAAACACTTTTGTACAAGCTCGAACATTATGGTATAAAAGATAATGATCTAAAATTAATGAGAACTTATTTAGAGGATAGGGTCCAAACTGTAGATATTGACGGTATAAAATCTAAGGGAGCTAATATTGGGATGGGCGTTCCACAAGGGTCAATCTTAGGCCCCTTTCTCTTTTTAATTTACATAAATGACCTTCCCTTTATGGTAGAGAAAATTGCAGATATAGTGCTGTTTGCGGATGATACTTCGTTAGTGTTTAAAATTGGACGTCAAACTAATCAATTAGACGATGTAAATTGTGCTATGTCTGCTATATTAAATTGGTTTACATGTAATAACCTATTATTAAATTCCAGCAAAACAAAGTGTATAAAATTTACACTTCCTAATGTAAGACCAATAAATACACAGTTATTGCTTAATGACGAAATAGTAAATTTTGTTAATGATACAGTTTTTTTAGGTATAACAGTGGACTCGAAATTACAATGGGGGCCCCATATTTCAAAATTGGCCAATAGACTCAGTTCAGCTGCATATGCAATTAGAAGAATTAGGCAATTAACAGACGTGGCGACGGCTAAACTTGTATACTTTAGTTATTTCCATAGCATTATGTCATATGGTATACTACTATGGGGTAAAGCAGCCGATATAAATACTATATTTATTTTACAAAAGAGAGCCATACGTTCTATTTATGGTATGGGTTCAAGAGAGTCATTACGTCAGTGTTTTAAAGATTCAAATATCCTCACCGTTACTTCACAATACATTTATGAGAATATCATGTATACACGGAAGAATTTAGACAGTTTTAGAAAACTTAAAGACTGTACAAATAGAAACTTACGCAATAAAAATAAGCTAATTTTACCTAAATGCCGCCTGCACAAAGTCAGTAATTCATTCTATGGTAATTGCGTAAGATTTTATAATAAACTGCCAGAATCTGCACTAAATCTGACAGAGAGGCAATTCAAATCTTATATTAAACAATTTTTATGTAAGAAAGCCTATTACAGGATAGACGAATTCATAGAAGACAACATATCAAGTAAATAATTAGTTTATACAACGTTATAATTTGTTTATCTCATTGCTTTCTTGATTCAATTATTTTAGAAATATGAAAGCGTAGCGGGTTTTGTATTAATTGCCGCATGCATTCTTATGTGAAATGTGAATACTATAAACATCAGATGGCAATTGTGAGTAGCTATGACGTGGTCTGGTGTTTTGAGTAGTCATGCTTACTAAAATGTCCAGACTTGTGGCGGCGTGGTGGGCCGGGTCATTGGGCTCCCTAAAATATGGTCGAGCGCAGTGATGGCTGGCTCATCCGTCATACTCGTGAACGGGTGCTGCTTGTAGGGACTGGTCTGCTCTAATCACTATGACTGATTTCCTCTTATTAATTGTTAAACCAGTTGGTTATGTATTCAATATTTTTTTCTTTTTGAGTATTTAATTGAATTAGTGCTAATCGGTGGTTTGTATTCACACACTTAAACTTAAATTGTAAGTAAGAATAAATTATTTAAAAGAGCAACACACAAGTTTCTTGCTTGTTCTTCTTGTGATGAGACAGCATTCCGAATGAGCGGTAGATTAAAAAAAAAAAATGTTATGACTATTCAAAAGTGCTTCAATGTAAGTTTATTTGAATAAATGATTTTCTATTCTATTCTTATTCTATTCTATTCTAGGATATTTAAAAGTTTTTTGATACGTTTATCATTCAAACATTCAATTAAAATTTAGAGTTTCTTAAAAACATTTTTGTACATACAATACTAAGTATTTTTATTAACTACCTGTAAATAGTCGGCTTTCAAAGCTATAACAATGCATCTTATTCCTTCGTTAAAACTTGCAAGCTCAAGTGTTATATAGCCGTCTCGCTTCCTCTTATTGCTACGCAAAGCGCTTCTAATTCATATTCTCCTAATAGATAATATTCGCTTTTGTCATATTACACGTATTTATTTGTCCTGCTGTAAAATATAATTATAAATAGTAACGTAGAATTAATAATTTCAGATACTAAAGTATCTTTACACTATGAGTAATAATTTATTTATTTCTCTAATAGATGCTTTTCCATTTGCTTTCTAAACATATGTATTGTTTGTAGGTCGCGAATGGGAGGTGGGAGGTTATTCCAGCAATGTGTACTGGCATATCTGAATGATCCTCAAAATGCTGCAGTGCCGTATCTTGGGTTACAGAGGATGAACTGTAATTCATTATGGATATTTACTTCGGTCCTGCTTCCAGATTAGCTTTTTATAAAGGTATTCTGGTTGGCTTCGATCAATGATATCATACGGTAATGCAGCCAAGTGCAATTTTCTTGTACCGTTCATCTTAATTACATTATTATTGTTAAGTAATGGTGTTTCCAGACCTCACCTTGGTCAAATCACCTTCATCAAAATAGAATCGGGCACATGCGTTTTGTAAGCTTTGTATTAATTTCTTAGTTCTAGCTAATTTCTTAGTAATAGGTATGGGCCACAAACAACATTTATAGGAACAATGATTCACGCATTCTGTAGAGTATTTTTAGTTTGTAATAACTTTGTCTAGACAACTGATCACATGAGCTTTAAATTTAAGTTCGGGTTCATTATTATCCCCAGGTTATGTACTCTAGCGGTTCGCTGAACGGTTGATCCCATAATTTTCATTCAAGGATTTTTCAATGTCCTCTGTCTTGTCGATTATGGCTGCCTAAGATCATATCTTTTGATTTTATGAGGTCAAGCTTGTTGTGTTCAACAACAGTGTTCCCTCATTGATTTTTTTTACTGCCGAACCTATCTCATTAGGTGTAAAGAACATTCAGAATTGCAAATCATCTACAAATACATGGTAATTGCAATTATTGTCGGCACTGGAAATAATGAACAATGGCCCTAGAACTGATCCTTGAGGAACTTCTCTCAATACCGGTTGCAACGATGAAGTCGCGATAGACCCATTCCAACCTTCTTATTTGTACAAATTTGCTCCTTCCAGTAAGATAACTGTCGAACCATTTTATGGTGTCTGTCAAAACCTTGATATCCCATCTTTGACAGCAATAAAGCAATATCCAGAGAATCGAACGCCCGAGTAGAGTCCAGTAGCACAAGTGTAATACCTATATATATAGTACCTAACCTTCGTCCTTTTCTTAAGCCCGACTCCAGATCGTGTAGTAGGTTATTAGTTTCATGGTATTGCACCATCTATAGTTTCAGGGTATTCCACCACTTGTAGTTTTACTGTAATCAACCATTTGTAGTTTCACGGTATTCCACCAATTGCAGTTTCACGGTATTACACCATTTGTATTTTCATGGTGTTCCACCATTTGTTGTTTCATGGTATTCCACCATCTGTAGTTTCATGGTATTGCACCAGCTATAGTTTCACAGTATTCCACCATTTGTAGTTTCACGGTACTACTACGCCATTTGTATTTTCATGGTGTTGTACCATTTGTAGTTTCACGATATTTCACCATGTGTAGTATCACGGTATTCCACCATTTTAGTTTCACGGTATTACACCATTTCCACAACTGAGTACACAACTTTCTCCAATAACTAGGATAGAAAGGTATATTTATAGACCTTAAATAATTAATAATCTGGCTTTTTTGGAATCTGTCTTACGACTAATGTTTGCCATTCTCCAAGAAACATCTTGTCACAATCTATTTATTGTTAATACCCGTTATAGCATCTAAAGTATTAGGCAGTATCAGTGTTAGCATGACTATCATGATTCCTGAGTCGAATTTAGAGCCATCAATATTTTTTCTGACCGTGGCTCGTGTAACTCGGCTAGGCGTAAAATTATATATACCATATCTATATATTCAAAATATATCAAGTCAGAGATGCCAATTTCTATATTACCAGAAACATGCAGAAAATTTATATTTATTTCATCACGGTTAGTTAGATGGACTGGCAAATCTTTTTAGACGAGAGGGGATGTGCTTTTAGATTTTTCCAAAGTTTTGACATACCTAACTATTGATATACCAGTTTATAGATGGCTTAAAATAAGATCTTTGTATAAAAGTTACTATATAGTCATAATTTCTGCATTCCTATTTCTTTCATTAAATTTAAATTTCAAAATTAAATCAATCATTCAATATGAGTGAAAATTAACTGACGGTACCAGGCTAGCAATTGCCTTTAGGAGATCTTGATTGCGGTTGAACGGTCGATTACGTATGCTGTTCTCCATTTCTGCGCTACTAGTATTTTATTGTGATTTATATTTTAGAGACTCATAACGAATCATGATTATATGAATCCTAATTAAATTAATGTGAAAATACATTGTTTCACTAGGACGGTTATAGATTATCTTTTATTTCAAATAAAAATATACATTAGGTGTTTAGTTTTCTACATTTATGTAGATATAATCATTTATTTGCATGCAGACTACAGTGTTGCAATGGCGTGCAAACAAAAAGGACGAAGCAAACTAAAATGAATGGCTTTTTTAAAAGACGCAGTATAAAAAAAATCTTATGATTAATAATAATAATAATACTCTAAGGAGAATTTACAAAGGACAATTTACGCAGCGTCATCTAGACCCAAGTAAAGCTAGCTAAAGCTTGTGTTTTGATTTAAAAATAAGTAGATTTTTTTTCGTAGAACCATACATATTATATATAGAAAACACACAGACCGATACAAACAATGAATACAAATGTACAAAACTCATGAATACAAATGTTTGTGCCGTGCGAAGAATCGAACCCACGACCATCGGAAATAAGGCGATGTGCTTAACCGCTACATCTAACCGTCATTGTATCTATAAATGTGATTTTATATTTATAGCAATCAGCTGAAAGTGGCAGCGACGCGATACTTTCTCCCGAGGACGTGGGCCGGGAATGCGCCCTCAAGTTGTTGGACGAGATCCACCGCGGAGGCACCGTGGACTCCTCCTTCCAGTGGTTGGCGGCGTTGTGGATGGCGCTCGGTCAGAAGGACGTCAGCCAGTGCGTTGTAAGTACCATCTTATATATATACAAGCTGACCCCGTTGTTTTGCCATATAAATTAAAATCGCTATTAATCTATTTATTAATAGAGATTGGTTGGTGATTGAAGCGTGAAAATTTAAGTTTATAATTTTAAGACATTATATTGCTTTATCTTATGTTTGCCTTCAAAGTAAATAAATACGTATTTATATAATGTACAATTAAATAAATCCATAAGTTATTTATAAACAATTATCTAAAGAAGGAGTAATATTAATATTTTATAATCGGTCTATCATATCGCTTTACAGCCTGTTAATATTTCAGTTAGGACATCCCTCAGAATACACAAAGATGTTATTGAGACATCTAGTTGATTAAAACCTGTTTATATTTCAGATAGGACATCCCTCAGAATACACAAAGATCTTATTGAGACATATTTAATTAAGGCTGATAATATTTCAGATAGGACATCCCTCAGAATACACAAAATTCTTATTGAGACATATTTAATAAGGGCTGATAATATTTCATATAGGACATCCCTCAGAATACACAAAGATCTTATTGAGACATCTAGTTCATTGAAACCTGTTAATATTTCAGATAGGACATCCCTCAGAATACACAAAGATCTTATTGAGACATATTTAAATAAGGCTGATAATATTTCAGATGGGACATCCCTCAGAATACACAAAGATGTTATTGAGACATCTAGTTGATTAAAACCTGTTAATATTTCAGATAGGACATTCCTCAGAATACACAAAGATGTTATTGAGACATCTATTTGATTAAGGCTTATAATATTTCAGATAGGACATCCCTCAGAATACACAAAGATGATATTGCGACATCTGAAGGACTTCTTCGGGGTGATGTTCAAGCTGGACGTGCAGTGGGCAGAGGAAGCTGATTCGTCTGACGAGGAAGAGTACAGCACACCTCACAAGATGAAGTTGACGTGTGTTGGTATTGGCTATGTTAATATAAGTAGGAGAACCCTTTAAATATATGTTGTTATGTAGAAACTAATCATGCATTTTTATTTACTTATTTATATAAATGGATTGGCCAAATAATAATAAATTATTATTATTATAGTTGTACTACTACTATTATTATTAAACAATAATAGGAATATCTCAGGATAACTCGCACAGCGTCATCTAGTCCCAAACTAAGTAGAGCTTGTGTTATGGGTACTAGACAACTGATGTAAATACGTAGATAATTTTTACAGTCGATACAATCAATGTTATATACAACCATTACTAACAATCTCCTTCCCTCTTGCATACCTGAGTTACCTGATTACAGAAATAGGTGAGATATCTAAACGATTTTGTACAAACTAGAAACCAGGTTTTCCGAATCGTATTGTAGAGTCCGACTCCTCGAACTGAACGGAGTTGGCGGAGCTCATAACTATTATATACATATACAGCTCGTAACTATTCTTAGAATTAAACAATATATCCAGTGTTAAGTTTAGTTACCCAATAAATTTATGAACGCACCCTGTTGACGGGTATGAACAGTTTATATGGGAAAATAAAATTGTTGTTTCAACTATTTTCCATGCAATTTATTCATATGTTCTCATTACTTATACTTTCCTTGGAGTTTGAAGAGAAATATTTGAAAACCAAAATTAGCCAAATCTGTTTGGCTGTACTCGAGTTTTAGGTAGACTAACAAACGTATTTTTCTTATATATATAAAAGAGAATGGATAATTTATAATACTTAAACGTATCTTTGGATAATGAACTCTATAGAATATAAATAAAATTGTAAGAGAAAGTGAAATGACATGAAACATTTACGCGCGATAACACTCACGAATGTGCGCATTACCCGCGCTAATTCGCGCGCACTGCAGACGAAATAATACAGACTTACGAAACATATGTATTGGGAAAGGAAACAACAGTTACTAGGTACAACAAAAACACATTTTTATTTTAATTATTTTTTAATAACCTTAAAAATAAATTCACTTAATTATAATAATTGTAAAATAATTAAGGCACATTTTCAAATAATAACTTCATCACATAAAAAATAGATTAAATAGAAGTGCTTGCTAATATAAATTTCTTTCAAATTCGATATAAAATTTTGATTCCTGTCACAGTCTAACAATTTATTCAGTTTGATAATTAATGTACTAGAGTGGCAAAAAAAACGAACAGCTCACCAGACAGTAAGTCGTCCCCGTCGCCTATATACATGTACAGCATTACGAATTTCGTGTCTCCTCCGATCGATCCCCCGTCCAATTCAAACAGGGATCGAAATTACGACAAAAGTCGTATCCATCAAGCGGTAGTCGGCCTTCAGTCGCTCCATAAGTCCTTCGCCATTCTGCGGGTTTGGAGTGCCATTTGGGGCCAACAGGACTAGAGTAGTCCAAAAAAAAAGAAGTGATGCCCACAATACTGCTCAAGCGTTACCATTCCAGAGACCAAAGATGTTTTGTCCGGTAATTTCACCTCCTTTTTAAACCGAAACACGTCTTACAAAGCTAGGTAAGTGCCTAGTGGCTGTAGACTGATTTACCTTCATGGGTAGACAACTTGTTATGAAGGAATATGAATTATATATACTGTGATCCTTTTTCAAGGACGTATATTTCATATTGATTAAAGTGATAGAAAAATAGAAGTTTTTAAAGTAAAGATCAAAAGAGTATTCAATTGGCAGTGATTATTTACTTAAATTACAAATTAGACAACATGTAAAGAATTAATGCATTTCTTGTAGACCGTTTATTTACAATCAGCTAATAAATTGATGTCACAATTTTTTAGCATTAACTCTGATTTTTTTTTTTTTTATTCTCTACCTTACTTTTTTTTCTCTTGTTAGGTAGCGTTCACTCCATACTTTACTTTATTACTTATTTTTTATACACTGTGGCTTCTAGTGTCATATGTCATAGACAAATACACACTGTTAAAAAAATAATAGATGCTTTGTGATCACTTTTCGCACAATGATAAAAAAGTAGTTTGACAATAAATAACATATAAACAAAACAATTATTTCAGTAAAAAATATAGTTATGGTTATTTCATTATAAAATGTTTTCGTAATAAGCATACATTCTTTTTATTTGTAGTAGGTACATGAAAAACTGCGTTAATTCGATCGTACATGTTGTTCAAGAATTAAAAAAAAAATATTGACTTAGATTAATTCTTTCTACACACAAGAATTTTACAAACTCATTGAAGATTGATTCGAAGACATGTTCAATAAGCGTAAAATTCATTAGATGATTATTACATTATCAAATCCATTGCATGATATCTACATTTAAAATTATATTGTTCTCTTTACAGTATACCTAAGTTATAAAATATATTGTAATAATTAAAACTGCGACAATATCTTTACAAATACTTTTTGATTTTATACATTTGATAATGTAATAGCATCTTTACAATTACAATATATACATAAATTAAATGTTCCTTTCAGTCAATAATACAAAGAAATATAACTAAAATATGTCTACGATAGTATAGAAACTGTATGATACGTATACTATACTCAGTAGTATCATCCACTATTACAGAAATGGATATAGAATTAGATATTCTTTTAACTTGTTACGAATTTGTGTTACCTATACGAATCTTTATTTCATCTAACATATAATTTGTAAAATTTCTATGTTAGGTACATATAGGTATCTATTTCAATTGAGTTCCACTTTAAATTTTGATATTTTCATTGTATAACTATGTTTTGCATCTATACTTGATATGGACTATTATTTCATACGTGTTATTTCAAAAACTCGTCACTTTATGTAGTTCACAAATTCCAGTAATGCTAGATTCTGTCACAACGGCTTTTTAACATGTTTCTAATTCCGTTAAAGTGATACTATCATCATATCATTTCATCAGAGTTCCAAAAAGATATGGTTCGGATATTGTACAATACCGTAGGACAGACAGACAGATGGATATCCCACTAATACTCCTGTATATGGTAGTTTTATATCTCCTCTAATATTAATGTTAGAAGTTTGTGACAGAATTCAGTATTACATCGTCAATTTTCTAGTTTAAATATATTTATTTATTATAGGATGTTCTGTTACCCATAATACTACTTCAAGCATCCTTCTCAGCACAGCCAAGTCCCGCCGACCAGTTGCAAATGCCACCGACGGGATCGAAGCTGAGACCTTTGGGACAGACGTACTCCCAGCCGAGTAGCGATCCGCTCTCCATGCGTGCGCATGATATGAACTTCTTGCAGGAAGTCGGGTGCGGGAAGTTGCCGATGTCCAGACATTCTATTGTGCCTGAAATAAAAAATATACCTTTTTAAATGGTACTTATTAACCCTTCCTTATTCCTTCCCACTGTCCTATTTTTAGGACATGAATTTTTTTTTTTTACAACAAACTATATTTTTATACTATAGCTACTATTGAAATTTGTATTTTGAAATATTTTTTCTATTAAAATTTGTTTTTTGGTAGTAATACATATTTACGTCATTTTAATACATATTATAACTTTTTTTTAATATATTAAGACCTTAATCCTATTACATCGATGCTTGGGAAGTAATGGGTTAACCACTTAAATCATACAAATTTACTTGTAGTTAGACCATAAAATATATAGTAGTAGGGTAGAGGATTATTACTAATAATGATGGCAACCCAATTACTAGCAATATACTCGTACTTTGGCAGGTCGAACTCTACATGGTTCGCATAGGAAACCATAGTGGTTAATTTTTGGTAAATTTGCATATTTCTGTTAGATAAACAGGCAAATATACAGAACATGTATGTAACTAATAATATTATAATTATAGATACAGTATGTTTATTTGCTACGGTTTCATGTATCAATAAACATTTTTGGAAAATATTAGTACGCATTTGGATCTCCATAGGAGAGGAATATGGGATAAATATTGAATAGTTTCCTGGACAATCTTAGTCATATATTAACAATTTTACTAAAAATATTTAAGTACAGTTTTACCGACTTTGTTATCGTAAGGATTCAACAAACCTTTAGCGTGCAGAACGACCTTGGTCCCTTCCACGTATTTCTCAGCCACCTTCTCCTCGCTGTCATCATAATAGTCATAATTCAATATCGGTCTGTATGTCCTGTTGGGAACAGTCTTTTGGACCTTGCTGAATGGTTTAGCGGTGGACTGCACCCTTCGTGGTTTGGCAGTCGTTACTACGGGCACGAAAGCTTCTGTGGTCGGAGGCTGCGTCGTCGATATCTTACGGTATATCTTCTTTCTTTGCAGTTTTCTCGGTATAGACTGCTGAGTTGTCACTGGCGATAGATATTGATATTCATCTGTAATATAATTTCCAATTTATTAAATGTATTAATATAATTTCATCAAAATTAGAGCCACCAGAGTTAAAAGTGCTGGAAAGTGAGAGGTGCGTTAAATATAGCCCGTAGACCCAAGGATGATAAAGTTTCATGAGAAAGGCCGTACCTAAAAAGAGTTTGGAAGTTTTTGTTTGTTAAAATACAAGTTAGTAGAGGTAGACGGCATTCTGTCACAGAATTCAGAATGTTGGAAGGTTAGCAGTTAGCATGTTCCATATACACTCACTCACCGTCATATGCCTTCGTGACGGGCGACTCCAACAAATATTCCCTAGTGAAATACGCTGGCTCTTGACTCAAACCTGTATACCCATCTGTGGAGAAAGCATAATCCTCAACCGGTACAGGTATCAACTTTGGATTGGATCCGAGATACCTTGCAGTAGGCGTACTGATTGTCAGAGATTCTCCAGTACCGCCCTGATTCGAAAATTGTCTAGTTCTTTGATTGCCGTTTAAGGATTTCGGCACTGCTGATGTGCTAGGCAGGTCTGAACTTGTGGGCTGCGTGATACCTGAAGTTCTTGAGTTTTTGACGTACGAAGTTCTAAAGGTGGACTTGGGTATTGCGAAGTTTGTGCTGGGTGTGATCGTGGGGTCAGAATATTCGGTTGTGTCAACATACTTGGTTGTATACTCGCTTGTGGTCTTTGTTTTTCCTAGCGGAAATCGAGTGCCTGTCAAACCTACATGTGTAATAGTTGGTTCGGAATTTATCAGCTGCTGCGGGAGTTTTGTCGTGAAAGCGTTTGTGCTGTACGTGGTTATTGGTGCAAAGCTTGTGGTTCTAGATAGTTTGGGGGCTTCAAATTCTATTGCGGTAACACTGTATTCTGGACCTGTTGATGTGTGTACGTTGTCACGTGTCGGTAGAACGGTTGTGCTCAAGTAATCATCAGAATAAACTGTTTTCCTGCTCTCCGTGTACGTCTCTGTGTATTCTGGACTCGTGAAATCGTATTCTGTGATTGTTTTTGGCGATGTCTTTATGTGTGGTTGTGTGTCTTCATCATAGTTTGGGATGACGGGTATTGGTGCGGCAAGAAGTTGGTGCGCCGCTATGGCTACCGCAGTTTCTGGGCTGATATCTGTTGAAATAAATTTATCGCTCCCTAAGAATACTAAATAAGTTTTACCATCTTACCAATAGATTTACCCTACAGCTGGTTGCGAGGGTAGAGGTAATAGTGGAGGATAGTGCCACAGTTGTGAACAATGTCAGGTCACACCGTTCACATAAAAACCTTCATGGGTAATTCATAATGAATTTGCTAAGGACTAATTAACCTTGAGTTTAGGTTAATTGGTCCTTAGCAAATTAATTAGGAATTAACCAATCAAATCGAATTTCATAATCATGAAAAAAACATTGGTTGACTTTGTAGTGTTTTTGACACAAAATTCAATTTCATCTGTACAATAAGCAAGGTAAACATATAACATTCCAATTTGGCAACCGCAAACCCCAACACAACAAACTTCAACACATAACAAATCCCAACACATAACAAACCTTAACACATAACATATCCAAACACATAACAAAACAAATTAAGCTAACAGAATAAGCATTCCCAGACTTGCATTAGCAAGTTAAAATGTCACATCACGAAGTCCTGAGGAACTGAGCAGCTAAATCGCTTTTTTTTATACTACGTTGGTGGCAAACAAGTATACGGCCCATCTGATGGTATTTAAATTATTGTAGCCTATAAATGAGGCTATAATTCATGCGTCCATGATTGAAACACCAGTGCGTATTGCTGACCCAAAGTTCAAATTCAATAATCGCAACACATGTTTATAGGAGCTCAGTGCTATATTCTTATGTCAAATATTTTGGTTTGGAATAATGGACATTACACTGGTGCAAGAGAAAAAAATATTGAAATAAAACACGCTACAGCAGCGGAGTTATACTTGAGGAATGCTATTCTTTTATGGAAAGAAACTTGTGCCCTGTAGTAAAATAACAATTGATTCTTATTCCTTTGCAAATATTACCAAAAGGCTTCTAAGTTTGGTACCTAATACGTTCATGCACATGCAAAATATTGGATAATACAGAAGAATAAATCGTTAAAAGAGAAGATTTACGTTTATGTAATACCATTAGCAATTTCTATCCTACTCAAGATTTTACTGCTCATTTTAAACATCTATACATACAAATATAGCAGATCATTGAAGATCTAAATAATCTGATAGTGGTGTAGAGGTAAGGAATGGTCAGCAATAGTGAGTATTGTGCCATTTGCTCGCATCAGTAGTCAGATAGACTTCCCTCTGTCGCGGTACTTTTGGTAAACATCGGATCTTTCATTCCTATATCATCAGTTTATACCATTAGCGCAATAGCACTCACCATTCCATCGTCATCCACTAAAGTAGTATTACAAAACACAAAATAATTAAAAAAAATACCTTCAATGTCAACCGTGGTTCTTCTCTCAGTCGTTTCGTATACTTCATCGTTCTCCAAATCTTTTAGAGCTTGTACCAAACGATTCTTCTTTGAACTATTGTTGTACTTCTTACTATGTCTCTTATTCTCTTCTTCGTTTGTGGCTGATGGGTTTTGGTCGCCTGCTTCTTCCTTAAGGGTCAACAGTGGCCGTCGCTGTACTTTGGAGGCAGATTTTTGTGTAATTCTTGGTTGTGTAGACTCATCATTGTAGTCTGCAGAAAAAACGTATTTCTTAATGATTACCATAATGACTTTAAGGACTTTAAGGTCTTCCTTTTAGGTCAATAAAAATTACCCTATATTTTCAGTTGGACATAACGAAATATCGTAAATCAATTTTTAAAAAATAGGTTAATTATTCTATGATCTCTGGCATAGGGATAAACATTCCAACCAAAGACGCAAGATCTATTCGAAAGATACGTCTGAGATTGATGAAAAAAAATTTAATTGAGTTGCTAGATCATTTCGACTGAAACTCGCCAAACTGCACGGTAGGTGTTTAGTTTTTTTTCCGTTCACATAGTGAAATAAATATTTATATACCAACAAAGGAGCCACTTTCGGTAGTATCAAATGCGTTGAATAGGTAGTATCATATTAAACTTGATTAGCAAAAGCAATATTAATAATATTATAAACGCGAAAGTTTGTGACTATGGATGGATGTTTGTTACTCTTTCACGCAAAAACTACTGAACGGATTGTGAAGAAACTTTACAGTATTATAGCTTATACATCAGAATAACACATAGGCTATACTTTTATAAGATATTATGAAAATTGGGAGAAATATAATGATAAATGTCAAGTAAGTGTGATACAGACGAAGTTACGCGGGTCAGCTAGTATAAAACAATGTCTACACTTTTCAACGTACTGTATTAAATTTTGAATATATTATATATATTAATATAATATTGAGCACACGTACTAGTATACTATACATGTACATATATGTATATAAAAATATATAAATATATCTTCTATATTTATAAATGATATTATCTACCTATATTATATGTAAAAAAATTACAGTAAATTATATATACATCTTTACAATTTTACGTTTACGGACTTTATTAGATAAGAATCTTATATATAAAATTCTCGTGTCACAGTTTTCGTTGCCATATTCCTCCGAAACGGCTTGACCGATTCTCATGAAATTTTGTGAGCGTATTCAGTAGGTCTGAGAATCGGCCAACATCTATTTTTCATCCCCCTAAATGTTAGGGGTAATCCACCCCTAAATTTTTTTTTTATTTTTAGAGTAAAAAACAACGTTTGCCGGGACAGCTAGTAATAATATAATGATAAATGTCATGTAAGTGTAATGCAGACAAAATGGGTCAGCTAGAAAAGTAATAATATATTGGAATATTGCCGGTTCAAATCAACGTATAATTTAGTATAATAAAGTAGCCGTAACTCTCACATTGTTTTACTTTATTATATAATCTCTGTAGGTACTAAAATTATACTCATCAAAAATAAAGATCGTATATTTAGGGCGCCAACTTTCAAAACAGTACGGCCGGCTGACGATTCAAATGTAAGTTGCGACCAATTGATATGACATTTAAAAATGAGCCGTATTCATATGGTTCCAGATTCTTGCTTCCCGTAACACGGTTTTTCAACTAGCACGAAAGGTAAGCCTTTTTCAACTATGTGCCTTAATGTATTTGTATTTGTTCAAAGTTGGGAGAAAAATGTCCTGTTGAAAATCAGCGCCGCACAAGAGCATACTGTCGGCATACGTTGAATATGTTTTTTTTTTGTAAATTCATTGGCAACTGTAAATTATTAACTTATATATTTAGCAATTTACGTAACTTATACAACTGCTGTTAATTATGTTTGAAATAAATTCTTGTTGTTCAAATATTTTTTATATTTTTAACTTATATCTTTAAATTATATACTTATACAATGTTTGTTAAATTTGTAATAAAAAAATTATTGTTATTTTATATAAAAGACCATACCATTTTCATCAACATCCTGCAACACTTCCTCTTCATCATCCGGCTCCAGGTCTATGAGCTGCGTGCTTGTGTTCGTGCTCGCTGTGCTTGTGCTCGTCCTGCTTGTGCTGGTGCTGGTGGTGGTACTGGTGGTACCGGGTCTCCTGCGTCCAACGCGGAATGGCCGCTGCGATGACGTCGCCACAGATGCTGAAACAAATTTATTTTAATTTATCAAACATGACACCTCTTTCACAATGCCTTGGTGGCTTAGCGGTTTAGCACATCGCTTTACTTCAGGTGGTCGCGGGTTTGATTCCTCGCACGACACATTAGACCTGGGAACGATTATTTATATAGGCCTGGGTATTTTTCGTATGTATTTACAAATTGTACTTAAGTATTTGTATCAGTTGTTTAGTACCATAACACAAACTCTTTTCAGCTTCGGACTAGATGGCGCTGCGCGAATTGTCCAGGGTTGTTATTATCACTAATATTACTATATTTAATACTAATGTAACTGTATGTTTGTATGTTTATTCGTAACTAAACGTATGCTGCGGCATTTGCCGCGTAGCCTGCATCTATTACTGTAATGTTAAATACAATACGCTGTTGCAAATGTAGTAAGTTTAATTTATTTGTACAAAAACATACAAAATGTTTATTGTATCATTCTTTAATGATACCTCTAACATTTACGCCAATTAAATGAATGGCCCGTACATCAATCATCCGAAATGGAACAATCGGCACGTCATATTTTCGCAAATAAACACTATTGTTTGATGCGTGCACGCACCGTGAAACAGCCGGAAACGGTAGCAAAACATCCAAACATCTGCGCGTCGACTGTCTTTTGTTTCGTATAGATGTACACACGCGAGTCGTTTCATCATGCAAATAATGAAAAAAAAAACACGCGAAGGGATTAGACTATTAGAGAGATCGTAGATGATGATAGCTGTATGCAATACCATAGATAATATTACATAGCAATACTAATTGGATACAGCCACGCTGACAGAATAAACTGGCGGTGTTACTGGCCGATAACACGGAAAGATTTTTTAAATAGTCGAATATTCTTGAGTTTATTCATAGGTAATAAAAAATAAATGTAAACCTCCATATTATATTAATGTAACTGAATTTATTTAATTTGTTATGCTAGTATTGTAATCTAAATCCTAGATAGTATTACAATAGAATAGCTATGATGTAGAAGCGACATGTTTGTTTAAAGTACCAATTCAAGTCGCTACTCGTCTAAAATACTAAGTACTAGTATTGTCTCAACTGAGTTTTGGAGGTTAGGTATGCGTTTAGAAATTCTAGAATTTCGCGCCATTTTCTTATGCACAAATACAGAGTATAAATTTTTTTTTTTTTTTTTTTTCTCTTCTTTGGCAAGAGGCTAGTGTTGCCTATTATGCCACTAAAAACAGGAAACGAGACGGGATAATGGAAAGGAACGGGTTAAATTTTGAATATACTCGGAATTAGTGATCATGGGTTTTAAAGTTTAATGTTATTATGGGAAATAAAAGACGCAAGAGATTTATAAATTATAGGATTAGGATGAGCTAATAGGCATACAATGGATGAAGGAAAAGGAATTTCTAATGAGATGAGTGTCTCTATAAATGAAGAACGATCGTAAGAGGAGCAGGAAAACACAATATGATTTAGATCACCCACATCTTCTCCACATTCACAGATATTATTGTCTTTTATACGTAGTTTTGTTAAATGTTCAGGGCTGCAAACATGACCAATTCGCATACGAATCAAAACACTAGTTGATCTTTTATCAAGATGTAATTTGAAAAACCACGGTTTAAGAGCTATAAACGGTTGGACTAAACAGTACTGTTTCCCTTTAATTTTGCTACTTATTGTCCAATCTTGACTCCATGAATCATGAAGACAAGACTTAGACAAGGCAGTCAGATCATGGCAAAAGTTTTTATAAGGAAATAGATCTCCAGATAATATAGCTTCATTCGCAAGCAAATCTGCTTTTTCGTTGCCCCGAATGCCACAGTGACCCGGAATCCAAACAAAAGATACAATATGTCCTTTGAGACGAATGCTATTCAACATATCTCGGATATCAAAAATTAGAGGATACTGTTTAGATGATTTGAATGGACATTTAATTAGAGCTTGAAGAGCACTTTTAGAGTCCGTAAATATAACAGTTTGCTTAAGATTAAAAATTTTAATATATTCTACTGCTTTAAAAATTCCATAGCATTCACCAGTAAAAACAGAGGTCTCTGGTGGAAATTTAATTTTCTGAGTTATATGATATTGTGAGTGGTAAATTCCTACACCAACATTTCCTGTATGTGAGTGTTTCGATGCGTCACAATAAATTTGATGATGGCTTTCCCATTTAGAGTTTACTACTTGATTAAACATTGCATTTACATTAGGATGTTCTTTTTCTATGTTAATATCAAAATGAACATCAGGGGTAAAAGTTAAAGATTCATATGCTGAACTAAATAATGGAAGACAGGGAGATCGATGAGTGGGAGCTCGGATGGCAGTAAAAGTTCTGTAACTTTTTACTAAGCAAGGTAGAGATTTATGAGACCAATAGGATGACGAAGAAACAAGATCAGAGAGCGATTGCAATTTAGGGATCAGAGGATGATTAGAAAACTGTAAAATACGAAATAAAAATTTATCAGATAAATACTGACGCCTTAAATACAATGGAGGATCACAACATTCTACTTGCATCGCATTAATGGGACTAGATTTCATGGCGCCCAATATAATCCTTAGAGCTTTAGCTTGAATATTATCCAATTTTTTTAGGGCTGTAGCATTAGCAGGTTCCAAAATAAATGTACCATAATCCATAACACTCCTTATGAGAGCATTATATATTAGTTTTAATTGAAATGGATGGGATCCCCACCACACACCCGTAAGGCATCTTAGAATATTAAGAAGTCGTTCACATTTAGCTGAAACGTATTCACAATGTGGTAAACCAGATAATTTAGAATCGAGAATTATGCCTAAAAATTTTATTTTTGTCTTTACTGGGATACACTGATTATTGTAACAGATATTTATAGGGGGTGGAACTCGCATTCTAGAAAACAGAACAACTGCACTCTTAGCCGCAGACAATTCAAGACCGTTACAATCCATCCAAAATTTTAATTTTTCTAAAGAAGTGGAAATTAAAGAACACGCTTTTTGAACAGAATGATCAATAAAATACATCAATAAATCATCCGCATATTGAAGTACAACGACTTTCTCACTGTTTTGATTTACATATGACTCTAAGTCGTATGTATAGATGTTATATAAAAGAGGACTGAGTGGTGATCCCTGCGGGAGACCCTTCCATACAACTCGAGACAAAATATTAGAATCAGACAATATAACGCTAATGGATCTTTCCGTCAAAATATTAATAATAAAGTTAGAAAGTATGGGAGGAACATTCAAATCGCAAAGCTTTTTCCATAATATGTTAATATTGACATTGTCATACGCAGAGTTAATATCTAAGAAAACTGAAACTACCGACTGATTTTTAGAGAATGCCAAACGTATATCTGAAACGAACAGACTGATTCCATCTAATGTACTTTTACCCCTTCTAAACCCATACTGACTTTCAGCTAATAGTTTTTTACTTTCGACATACCACTCTAAACGAGTTTTTACTAAATTTTCAGCAATTTTTAAAAGAACTGTGGAAAGAGCTATAGGACGATATGAACTACTGTCATCGGAAGGTTTGTTGGGTTTTTTAACTGGCAATACCGTGTGATGTTTCCATGACGACGGAATATTCCCAGTTAACATTACTGAATTTATGAGATTAAGGTAATACAACATACATTCATCATTAATATTCGCTAAAAATGAATATGGAATGTGGTCATTTCCTGGAGATGAATCTTTCGTATGAGACAGAACGGTTTTAAGTTCCGTAAATGTAAAAGGACTGTCAAGAGCTGAAGAGTTTATATTTTTATTGGTGGAAAGTGGCCGCGTTATGGGATCCATATGAGATACGTAGGGTGGTGCTAAACGATCTAGAAACTCGTTAGCTGTAGTCTCTGATAATGTAAAAAAAGGAGAATCTTGGAAAGCAGATCTGTATCTTTTTATATTACGCCATACAAGGGAAGGATGAGTATGAGGCGAAATAGAAGAACAGAAACGTTTCCATCCTTCTGACTTCTTTTTCTTTAAAAGTTTCCGGGTGGAGGCTAGTAGGGCAGATAGATTGGTGAAGTTTTCTGAACTCATATCATTACAATATAATCTTTCTGCCAGTTTCCTGGATTTAATAGCTGTAGTACATTCATGGTCCCACCAAGGTGGAGAAGGAATTTTATTATTATTATGTTTGTTTACAGGAAAAACTTCATCAGCGACTTGTATCAAAATTTTGCTGAGGGCTTCAGAACAGTCCGATTCATTACCAGAAGTAATAGGAGGGAGAGATGATAATTTATTTTGTACACCAATTTGGAATTTATCCCAATTATTATTATTATTTAACTTATGTTTGTAAAAATAATTTCTTTTTCGAGGATGTTTTTTATGAATTGGTAATGAAATGATAATAGGAAAATGGTCACTCCCATATGCAGATGAAAGGATAGACCATGATAGAGAGGAAGATAAATTGGAAGAACAAATAGAGAGATCTACAGCACTATTTCTTTCAGTGGGAGCAGTAATACGAGTAGGTACTGGGTCATTTAAAACACACAGATTATGGGAATCAAGAAGGCCTAACAATTGCTCACCATGGTAATTAGAATAGGAGCTGCCCCAAGCTTGATGATGGCAATTGAAATCACCCATTATTAAAAAAGGTTTAGGAAGAATTGAAAATAACTCATTTAAATATGCAATAATTGAAGAGGAAGGACGAGGTATATAAAGGGAGACTAAACAAATATCGCTGACAACAGCAGCAACCATAGAAATATTGTTTTTGTCAAAAAGAGGTAAAGAAATAGAAGAAAAATGAGTAGCTTTATTGATGAGTAAGGCAGCCCCACCATACCCATCTGGCCTATCATCTCGAATACAAGAGTATTCTGATAATTTGAAATTATAATCAGGTTTAAGCCAAGTTTCAGTTAGTGCAATAACAAGTGGTTGTTGATATTTATTGATTAAATGAATTAAATCACTTTTTTTGCTAAGTA